GACACAGTCTGCTTCTCTGCTTTGTCTTGATCAGTGTCATTGCAGAGAAGGAGGCCTCACATACGAGGTTTTGGAGGTCCTCAGTCCCGTCTCAGTCCGTCTCCGCCTTCTCCCTGGTCTCCGGATCCATACCACCGGATCCATGTCTCTCAGATCAAGCCTGTTCACTCCAGCCCACTTTACCCTCCGGTTGCTCCCCCTGCTCCCTCCCTGCTTGTGGATGGCCATCCTCCCTGGTTGGTTCGCCAGATTGTCCTTCATTTTGCACCTGCGCATCATCTCCGATTTTGAGGCCTCTCTGTCCGCTCGTGGTTCTGGGCCGCCTGGTGGCATCTGTTGGGGGGGGGGGGGGGTCAGGTTCTGGGGTTGTGGATTGTTCACATTTTCCTTCACAGGTTGTTGGAGGGCTATGGAAACGCTTAGGGAGACTACTTCCAGCTAATTACCTCTGCTGCAGAGTCACCCTGCTCACCTGCAGCCAATCATGTAATCAGACAGGAGGAATAAAGGAGCCAGGGAACCATCCACTCAGCGCCAGCTTGTTTGCCTCAGTGGATTCCTAAGACTCAGCTCTGGCTCACACCTTCATGTTGAAGACTCCAGCCTCTTAGACTCACCTCTGCAGTTCTCTAGAGCCACGGCTGAATTCTCCCTCACCCTTGGATCTCCTCCTGTCCTGTCCTCCTCACGTGCGTCTCCTGTCCACCCTCCAACATCACGCTGTAAGCTATAAATATATTTTTCATGCTCACAGCGCTCCTATCACCTGTACTCACCTCCAAGCTCCTTCAGTCACTGCTCCTCCCGGAACCTCCTCATCAGCCCACAGCCCCGGTACCGGCTCACCTCTCCCACTCTCTGCTGCAACCTAATCCCAGTAAGAACTCTCCCCACTATATTATATATTCCTACTCGTCCCGATCATCATTTCATGTGTCATTTCTTCCAATGGTCCAATCTCTGGCTCCAGAACCAGCCCCATCCCTACCAGCCTCTGCTGACTTCTTTAATAAACTATTTTGTATTACATCTCCTGGTCTCCTGAGAGTTCCTATTGTATGTGGGTCAAATATCTTCATAAAGAAAAAAACACGACAGTAACTAGGGATGGGTACCTTTCACATTTGAATCGATTCAGTACCAAATCCTGTATACCTACAAATCGATACCGGTACTGTTTTTCAATATTTTGGAGTGTCTAATAATTAATTCTCTTTTATAATGAAATGTTTATTTTCTGATCAGAAAAGCCCTACACTGCCTGCGTTTTTCTGCATTTCCACTGTTTTTACCCTCTGGAAGCAGGCGTTGCAGATTAGCAACGTTAAAACCTACCTACCTGGTTACTCCACATATCTATTTCATGAGCATTTTTTTAACTCAGAAGTACCCCTGAAGGACTTAGTTGTTCGTCCTTTTATCAAAACTTATTTTGAGACTGAGAGGGTTAAGAGTCGCAAAACGTTGAGCGCTAAGATGATGTCAACGCCAAAACTAACAAAACAAAGTAGACTCACCTCATATCAGGAAGAATCCGCACGTTTTGAGCGTTATCCGTTCTTTCATAATCCGTTGTCAAATTGGGATCGGCAGAAGCTTTTCCGGTTTGCCCCTCACTTTTTTTTTTTTACAGCAGCGGCCCAAAATCATCTCCTTAACACATGGATTTTTTGCTTCCTGGTCACGTGACGTGTAACGTACGCGGATGAAGATTGCCTTTAGAGCTGGGATGTTTGTTCTCATGGTGCGGGGGCTCGTTCCGATGTCCACACAGTAAAAAAATGCAAATGATGACTTTAGTCATCATTGGCAGTGAAGGGGTTAATAACATCTCCCATCACAGCTATGCTGATGACACCCAGATCTACCTAGCCCTATCACCTAGTGACTTTCAGCCACTGGACCCACTCAGTCAGTGCCTAGAACAAGTAAACGACTGGATGCAGTCAAACTTCCTTCAGCTAAACAAAGACAAGACTGAAGTTATTGTCTTTAGCAACAAGATTAGGATGGATGTTATTGCTCAGCTAGACTCCAGGGGAATTAAGACAATGACCTAGGTTACAAATCTTGGTGTTATCATTGACAGACCTGAGCTTCTCTGGACATATTAAAGCTAGAACTAAATCAGCGTTTATCACCTTCATCAAACATCAAGAGTCAGAGGTCTCATATCCAGACCAGACTTAGAGAAACTTATTCATGCTTTTATTTCTAGTCTGCTGGACTACTGCAATGGTCTCCTAACTCGTCTTCCCAAAAAAGCTGTGAAGCAACTGCAGCTTGTTCAGATTGCTGCTGCTAGAGTCTTCACAAGAACTAAGAGAACGGAGCACATCACTCCTGTTCTTAGATCTCTGGTTACCAGTAAACTACAGAATAGACTTCAAAGTGGTGCTACTAGTTTATAAATCACTCAATGGCATGGGACCAAAATACATGTCTGATCTCATTCCTGTATATACACCCAATGGGGCTCTGAGATCCCTTGGAAACAATCAGCTGGTAGAACCTCGGGTCAGAACAAAACATGGTGGAGATGCATTTAGTTACTATGCTGCTCACATATGGAATCAGCTTCTCCATGACCTCAGATGTGCCCCAACCCTAGTGTTGTTTAAAACAAAACTAAAACACTAATGTAGCCATCAGCCTTTACATTAATTATTTTTTATGCTGCATTATCTCCTCTGGATTCTGCACTGTAACTTTGTCTTCTGCTTTAGCTCTAAAATGTAATTCTGTCTGTGTGTATTTTAATGTGTTTTTATGTGTTTTCATATCATGTCCCGATAATTGTAAAGAACACTGAATTGCCTCTGTGTTTGAAATGTGCTCTAGAAATAAAGCTGCCTTGCCTTGCCTTAGCTGCTAGCAACGGAAGCTAACTTATCAAGCTAACGTTATCTTAAACAGTTTAATTACCTGCTGAAGCAGATTCAGACGATGATAACTCACTTAGAACGTTGTCAATGTTTTCATCGCCATCTGGTCATCCATCGCATTTAGTGAATTAGACTCAAACTTTAGAGCGTGTTCTTTCTACCATGCTGCTTTCTCTGTTTACATCTCACCCACAGCTAAGAAGAAGACAATTTTTTTTATATAGCGCCTCTCAAGAAAAAAATTACAAGGCGCTTCAATGCGACTGATGACATAACGCTCTTGCGCATGTGCTGCTGTCTGTCTGAAATCAGGTGTCGAAACAAGGCACCGTTTTATATCATGTAAATCGGTCCTCTTTCAGTACCACGGAATTCGGTCGGAGCCTTAAAAAGTACCGAACGTGGTCGGTTTATTAATGATAATCAATTGTACCTGTATTGGCTGGAAAGATCTTTCCAAATGCCCTCCTTTATGATCCCTATGAAGGCAGAGTCATCGTCGTGTTCGGTGCGGTGTTGCTGTAGCTTTTGCAGAGTGGACTTCAGTTGCTGGAGTCTGCTAGTGTGGAGGTTAATATATAAGGCTAATGTCGATAACATGATAAACAGTGTTATTTGATTAGTTACCTGCTAACAGGAGAGGACGTGCGAACGTCACCGTTGCTGCTGCATTGAAATTCACTAGTCCGGAGCGCGTCAAAACACATCTTTAACTCTTATTAAGTTTTTGCGTATTTTGTTCCCTAATGCTCTTTCCTTCCTTTGATGAAGTATCTACAATGCAATCATTGCAAGTTATCCTGTTGTTATCCTTTCTTGTAAGTATAACCAAACTTTTGAGCATTTGTGACACCATATTTCCTGCTTCCGTAAGCTACGCAACGTGCGTGGTGACATCACTTGTGCTGAATAGAACTGATAAGGGCATTTGTTTACAAAAGAGGGGAACGATTTATAGGAATTGAAACAATGGGAACCGGTTCTCAACAAGAACTGGTTTTCGATTCCCAACCCTACTTCAGACTGTCTTTAGCAGTCTGAGTCAGACGGTTTATTGGAAGAAGGATCTGAGTTGTGAGCCTGAGTTATTGAAACAGCACAGTCCAACAGTCCATGATCCCTCCTCCCCAGCCATTCATGAACATGTTGAACTCTAATCATCTCCCAAATATCAGTGATAATGTATTTTGTTGATCATCCTCATGGTCCCATTGCTCTTTTCAGCAGGCTAATAGCTCTTCGCTAACTACTGTCTGCTTTGCCGCATCAACCCTGGCTACTGGAGGGCGTTTGGCTCAAACTTGCAGTCTACTTCATAAACAACCTGCCCGGGAGTTGTTTTCAATCCAAAGTAAGACCCGTGAGAACAACTGGCCTGGCAATTACAAGATACACACCTGTGCAGATGACTCACACCAAGGGAAATGACCCAGGCTTTGATTTGAACAGAGTAAAAACTGCAGGTGTGAAAACACCCTCTGGCTGTTGCCCCATGACCCTGGCCTGGTTATAAAACAGGAAATGGATGGAAAACCTAGACTATCTATGATCTGCAGGGGTCTCAGATGAGCCAGTAAAATGCATCATTAAATAAATACACGTTTCCTGTGCTAATTAACATCTCCTAACTGGACAAGGTTTTGATGTTAGATACATGCTTTCATTGCTTGGTTAATATTTAAGCATCTCTGGCATGTACCGTTTAGATTCTCCTTGTTGCTGATCGACTGACTCCCTGCATCAGACAAAAGCTGGATGTACTGGTTGCCACAGGAACGTGGAGCTCAAACATATTTCTATACATAAACCCCAGTTATGTCAGCAGCAGAGATAACATGCATTTTTCTTAATTTTACACTTTGTGGAGGGTGCAGGAAGCCATTTCACGTGAGCTGCTCCACCACTTATAAATAATGGTAAACGACAGACTGAGAACCTGCAGCAGCAGATAGAAAAACAGATTCTGCCGAGCTGTGAAATAAAACTGGACTGATAAAGTGTTGGGTTCATTGGAAAAGCTTCAATCCTTGGATTTGAACAGACATGCTTAGAGACGGACGTCGTGTGGCTTTACACCTAAACAATGACCCACAAACATCCAAAGACACACAGATGGAAAGTCGCTTTTATATTTTATTCCAAAAAACTTTCAAAATAAGTTTCAAGTTCAAGAAAGTAGAATAAGCTTAGACACAGTGCAAAGCATCATATACAGACGGATAAAATACATTTTATATATTGCAGACAAGCCATGGTGGGTCTTACATATGTACAGTATGTATGTAAACTTTTATGTACAATCTCTTTACAGATACAAAAAGCAATTTTCTATTTTTCTTTGTATATATTTATATTTTATATATATATATATATATTTATATATAGATTTTTCATATACTCCCCACTAGCATTTGTACTACAATTATGAAAAAAGAAAATCATTTACATATATTTCAATCCATTTTTCTCTTTTTATATTACAAATGTATTTTCATAAAAATATATCTCTGTACAAAAATTATTTTTTCCATTTATTTGTTAACATATTCTCTCCTCTTGGAGACATTTTCTGTCTGCTTAGGTTCACTCCAGCTGGTCACAACCACCTTTCTGGAGTGCAGCAAGACTGTCTTTTATGGTTTTGTGTTAAGTTGGGCCTTCGGGGGGCAAACGTCGCTCGACAAAAACATGAGAATTACTTTGAAATGAGGAAAAAAAGACTGAAGACGTGGGGCCATGTAGTAGTTTGTCAGGAGCAACATAAGAAAATCTGTAGAAACGAGAAAGTTTACTATATTTAGCTTTAAAATACTTAAAGTATTAAGATAACCAGTCTTTATCCCAGAAAAAAATGAAACCTACTGGTCCTGGTAACTAAGGGAACCCACTAAGCCCGTGTTTAGGGATGCCTTGTGACACTCCCCTGATGGAATGGCCCGACTCTGCCCTGCTTTAGTCCGGCTGACACACTGAGAAGAGCTGAGGAGTGAAGGTGAACAGAACAGCATCAAGTGTGTTTTGTTTCTTTCTGCCACTGCCATCACACATAGGTGGCTCCAAAGGGAGACTGTAAATGATGGCAGCAGCAGACCAGCACGGGTTTTCTGTTTTTAGGTAGATGCACCGTGGCTCCTGGGATGAAGGGAGAGCTACCACAGCAGACAGAGGTGTGGCGACCCTGACTGAGAGGAAACTGGCTGAACCCAGAGACCATAGCTGTGGTGTTTTATTATGGAGGGGATAGAGAGGACTGTGTGGGGCTGATAACGACAAGGAGGCAGAATGAAGGGAGTTACTGTCTTTAAAATATGCACTGAGAACCTGAAAGAGACCAGCCGCTATCACCGAAGACTCTCTTACAGCTCAGCTCCATCCTGAACTCGTTGATCTTCATTTTCATAAAACTCAAAGCACTTTCTTCTGGGCCACATGAGGGGTGGTGGAGGAAAGAAGCTTTAACCCTCCGTAACAAACATGGATTCCTGTAAAGTCCAGTTTCTAATTAAAAACTTTAGGAACAGAAAGAATAATCAGTTTCTTCTAAATTGATTTAATTTCTTTGGTTAAACAGACAACTTTGTTTAGACGATGAACCCCAAAAGGCCTGAAGAAATGCCACATGCTGAACCATTTAGACAGGAACACCATGTACTTCTGGATGATTACTCTGACTTGATGTGTACAAGCTCCGCCCAGTCTCCTCGGTATTCCAGATATTTTCTTTAAGATCTTGTTGTGATTCATTAGTGATCTTTTAAGCTGAGTAGTGACTTCATGAGGTTACGATAAGGCACTAGAATGAACAGAAAGTGCTGATTCAGGACTGGACAAGAGAAAAACGATGATAAAAGGATGCAACAGGATTTAAATGAGTTTCTGTTAAAGACCAGCAGTCTCTCTGAAATGAGCCCGTCTTATTTTCATTATAGTCGCTCGGATCTCCAGCGAATCCTGGTGAACAGGAACTGTTTCTGTGGAGGAACGAGAGTTTTACTGATCTATTGCATCAAGTCATCGTGATTGTTTGTTCAACACCCGCTCAGTTTAATAAAGTGGTGCCAAGTGTGAGTTAAAAGGTGTTGAGGGAGGAGAGGCCCCTACAATGTGGCCCAATCACAAACTAGCTGAAACATAAGGAAGACATCATTCCTGCTGAGATGTTGGATTTTACACACACGTGCGTGCGTGCGTGTGTGTGTGTGTGCGTGTGCGTGACATCTCTGGGGTCATTTAATCACTCCTCCTCCAGCACTGGAAAAGGCCAACCTTCCAGGGATGAGTACTGGAGCAATTACCAAAGCACAGCTGAGATGGTCAGAGGAACAATGCAGCGACGGGTTTGGTGATTTTTGCTTTATCCTGAGGAAAGCAAACACAAGCTTTAACTGAGGGTGTCTTCCATAAGCGGCTGCCTTTGAGCTGCACGGCTGACCCCGGCTAACCTCATGAGAACAGTGTGTGGTAAAGAGCCGGGAGTGTTCGGCGGGTACTTTCACCTCAGACACGTTTAACACACTTCAAAAAGTCACAACAGCATTCATTTTTTAAATCATCAATCACACACAAATCCTTCAGCAGCACGGGTAGATAAGTCCGGCCAACACCCAGCTGTCTTGGTGTTAGCATTAAAGACGAAAGCACCTCATTTCCAGATCATATTCATCACTTCTAATTGAGTGTGTGGCAGCCATCAATGTGCCAGCGACTCCCCTGCTGGCATAGCCCGAGGACGCAGTCTGCAACGGGTTTGTGACGAGCAAAACCAAAACGACACTATTCTTTCTTTAAAGGATGAAGCTGTCACAAGTGAGCTGGGAACAAAAGCCCTGAATGTAATCCTTGGGGAGCCCAACACCGATTCATCTACTCTTCAGACTCTTCAATAGAACATTGTGGAGACGTGGGTCAGGGTGAGGGTTAGACCAGGTGCATTGAGCTAAAACAGCACTTGGGCAGCCATGTTCCGGCTTCAGCCAGGACTGGGATGGAGGGACCAGTAGGTGCTACAGCTGTGCTGAGTTCTGTATGATAAAGAAATGCATAATGCAGCATGTTCATCAAAGTATCAGATGCTTTGAGTCAGTCATGCTCTCTTCTTCTCTCACTTCGTCATCAAGTGAATCAAAACACCAAAACAAAGGTTAAGATCACACAAGTATAGATGATGAGGATTTTCCAGGTAGGAACTCATATTTTTGTATTTTCAGAGCTTCCAGTAGGACATGGAGCTCAGGGTTTAGCATCCTAAAAATAAACTAAAGCAGAGCAAGGAAAATAATTTAAAAGAAGGAACAAACAAACATCAAAAGCTATCATGTTTGGGTTAAACCTCCGGGCTTAAAGCTCAGGGGATTTTCTCCATATGCAGATGTAAATGTGTACAGAAATAGCACACACCCGTGCCTCTCTACACCCCACTAAGGGCTTTCTCTCTGCAGCTCCTGCTACCATCTAACCCAGCTTCGGACACACTTTGCACAGAGGGCAGAATTTCACCGGAGCCTAAAAACGACAGAAGGCATCTCCAACATGGCCTTCAAACTCACTGAATGTTTTAACTCGGGCCTTCGATGAAACCTTTCTACAGCCTCAGAAGCAGAGGACCGGGGAAAATAATCTGTTTTCCAATTACTGATGACAGAAAGCAAACAGCACATAAAAGCAGAAAAGAAAGAGAATAGGACAGGAGGATGAATCTCATGCATGCTGACTCGTGGTTGCACAGTTCTGTAGCTACACGAACATCTGAGGACTAAAAGTTGACCATAAAATTCCCTTTTGGTCTAGGCGAAGGGTGGTGAGAAAAGTCATCACAGCTTTGCCTCCAGAAGAAGTCCTGCAGGCCACAGGCTCCGATGGAAGCTTCTCCTCAGAATACGGAACGGGATCAAGAAACCGTGGAAAGCTACAAAAGCATTTTCTTGTTAGCCTTTGCTAAAGTTGTTGCCTTCACATGGTTTCTCTTCTGGTGTCCTGCAGGCGAGGGCCTCTGCTGCTGGAGATGCTGAAAATGTTTCAGCAAATAAAATAATCTTTGTCTTGCCATCAGCTGGAGGAACTACAGGCGGTCTCAGTTGGCAGGCAGCAGAGGTTGTGATGCATCTCTCCTCCCCTAACCTAATCGGGCCGGGGTGCAGGACGGGTCAAGAACAGAGGAAAATGGGACAAAAAAGATGGAGGATGTGACAGTTAAGGAAAAAAAACAAGAAAAAACATTAGTGAGTTTTATAAAGTCTACTTGTTTACTTACATCATCATCAAATCAATCTGCTGTGAAAAGGTATCTGCCACCTAACAGTCTTCAGTTTTTGTCACACAAACACATTTCAGTGTGAGCCAAGGTCGATGTAGGTGAAAAACCAACCCAAACCCCAAAGCACACCCGCAACCCGGCAAATATGGTTTCCTAGCACGCCACATGAGACCTGAGTAACAGAGGAGGGCATGGGTTTGATCTGACGTCACGGTTACCTGAGGGAGGCGGCCGCTATACAGCGGTGCACACTGTGCTGACTGTGAACTCCGTCTCGTTGGCCATGATGTCGGTGGGCTGGATGTTGCGGTCGTACATGGGGTTCTCGAACGTTGCACGTCCGTTGGTGTTCTCGTGGCCCACGTAGCCGTTGAAGGGAACTTTGGGTCTTCTTCTAGAACGATTCCAGAATGAGTCGTGAGCAGGATGTATATTGGGGGGAGGGGCCAACAGATTTATTCACCGTGCAGCAGATAGAGGAGTCACAGAAGGGGTCAGTCTGCAGTGATTTCCACTGAGCATTACAGTTTCACTCTGACCTGTCTAACGTAACAAACCAGCTCCTTCTCTAGGCAGGGCACTGTCGCACATTCACACAATAATAAATAATTTCTGAGGATTTTTCACACGAACATGTTTTTAAAGAACAATCAAGCAAAGCAAACTGAAATGTGTGCATTCGCATGACAAGATGGCGTTGATCATTAAAGTCTCACCTGTGTTTGTAGAGGTACAAAGCAAAGCCTGCAATGATCATGGCTATAAAAGGCACTAGGATGGCAGCTGCCACTGAACTGCTGTTGGAGGCAAAGTTGTAGCCTGGGTTGTCTCTGCTGGGATCTAGACTCTCTGGAAGAGACAAACACAAAGCCATTACTATGTCCCTCTAGCAGCAGGAGTCTTCTTTCTGTGGTTATAGACCATTATCTAGAAAAACTATGAAGGTGAAGAGAAGTAACCGAGAACAAGCTGAGCAGAGGAAACAGATTTTAAGCTTAGGTCCATGTATTCCTTTCCTTTTAGCCCCAGGGAAGGTCAAATTCCATTATCCCATTTATTTAATTACTGGCATGAAAGACCAGCAACGATTAACTCGATTCAGATGCGTTATCCAGTTTATAGTTTATCTGAAAGAAGCAGTGGAGCTGCGACAGCCCACCTGTTTGCCATAGAACGCCAAAAAGCACCAATAAAGGACGAGTGACAAACAAGAAGGAATTTAATTAAGCGGCTTGTGTGGTGTTCGCCAATCTACCTCCTGCTGCACACGCCAACAGATGCACAAACACGCCCAAGCATGCACGCTTATTCCACCTCTGAGCTAAGACAAAACACACTACGTCGACAAATTAAGCAGGATTATTTCCAAGGTGTCTAACCCACCTTCCAGACACACATCTGTAGTCTTGTTTGGCACACTTAAGTACACACACACACACACACACACACACACACACACACTGGCAGCCGCCCCAGCCTTCTGTATTAATAGCGGGCTGTTTGCTTAATCAGTGTGCAATAACAGGGTGATGGGAGGGCGCACCTGCTGCTCCAGCACCTTTCTCATTACAGCACGTTCTTACATCCTTCTCTGCCACGCATACAAATACTTCATCTGTTAACACCTCCATGCTAAACCCTACGCTCAGCTGATCTGTCTACAACTACACCACAGCTCGTCATTATAGCACCTTATATGGTTCGACAACCCCCCAAGGTGCTTTACAATGCATCCAGTCATAGGATTGAAGATCCCCATAAGGTGCCATACAAATACAAGCCATTTACCATGTAAGCTTCAGCCATTATTTGTTCCCTGAATGATATGTATTAATCATCATCAAAAGAGCCTTTCTAAGAAGAGCACAAGTTCAAAGGTCACCAAAACCAAGAGGAGACTTCACCCACCCAGTCTCTGGAGACCAAACTGGCCAAAGCCTTTTCCTCTGACAAATCCCTGGTACACAAAGGAGTTGGATGAAGAGATGTAGGACACCTAGGGAGAGGGAGAATGGGATAAGAAGCATATTACGTGTCACATCAAGGATTACAAAGGCGTGTATCATCAAAGTGTCAGCAGTTGGTGCACGCCGAAAATGAGATATCATGTCAAAAACAGACGATGAGGGCCCTTGCAGCTGACATTTCCTGTGACATCTCTCTGCAAAGATCACAAATAAACACTCTGCTGCATGGCGCACACACACACACACACACACACACACACACACACACACACACACACACACACACACACACACACACACACACACACACAAAAGTGGCACACAAGAGGAACACTGCAAAAGGCACTCTTAAAACACTCGTGCACATCTCATAGAACAGCACATAAGAGCACACCCTGACACCCAATCACGTGTGCTGTGACCTGCTTTTAAAATGACATCACGAGTGTGTGCTTTAGAGGCGCCTGAGGTGGGGAGTAACGCGGGAATGAGGAGTGAGGGCGTCTGTCGAGTCCTGATTACCAAGCAATGATTTAACTGACATTTTAATTAAAGAGAAAACTCTCGGTGGGCCCTCCATCTCCCTAGAGTGACAGAGTTAGGGTGTGTGTGTGTGTGTGTGTGTGTGTGTGTAGACTCTGCGTTGTGCACTCACATGCCCATCCAGGGCCCAGTTGTCGATTTTGAACTTGTTGACAAAGATCTCCACAGGACCTCTGATCTGGAGGACCTGTAGCAGCAGCTGGGCTTCCTCCCTCTTGTACGTACCTACAGGAGAAGGTGTGTGTTTAGGAACAGTTTACCACCTCCACACCGATGTCCTGCACAGATGTAAGACTTCTGATGGCTGCTGGTAGAAATGAAGCCATCAAACATGATCCTAACTCGTGCAAATCAACTTAAAGTACTTTAGTGATACACATATAACGTTTCCTGTTAGGTTGGACTATCTTTGGTCAGAGTTGTTTTCTATCAAGTGATTTTTGCTTGTTGTGTTTTCTAATGTGTTCTGCTCCTGGTGTTCTGTTTGGATTTATTCATGATTTACTTGCCTCAGCAGTGATTTCGGCTCTTTCAAGTTTAATTTTCTGTTTAGAAAAGCTGATTGACAAGCTTTAGAAGTAATTAAGGAAATTGTTGCTTAGTTAGTTTATTTTGTCAGAGGTTTGTCATGTGATAGTAAACATCATGACAATCATGCAGCTACTTAAACTCGTTGCAGCTTTGTGATGAACGCTGACAGCATCCAGGGAAAAGAGCTCTTAATGTTACAGATTTCCCTCTCTGGGATCACAGCTGGAGAGTGATTGAGTCTAAAAAAGGGCCCTGGTTCGGTAAAAACACCAGTTTTCTACCTCGGGCCGGAGCCAGATTGATTTCGTGCTCCTCCAGATAGTTTGTTTAAAACTCATCTCTGTGGGCCTCTGGTAGGAGTACGACTGTTAAACGGAGCAGCTTGGATTTTGTGTTTGTTTGTAAATGTTTGGGACACCCACCTGACAACTTGAGCTCAACTCCACTGTGATCAATGAGAGTCCCGTTAACTCGGCTGCTGAAGGGTTCGAAGGCAGTGATGCTCAGCATGGCCGGCTGCTTCTTCCCAAGGTACTCATAGGAACCTCTCCAGAGGGAGTTCTTAGCAAACACGCCACTCGGGACTGGAATACATATAAGAGTCTGTGTTTAAGGAACCGACGGACACGTCTATCACCGATGAGCAGCACACGTGCTTCCTCTTAACATCAGAGTCACAAAACAAATGGCACTACTGATATGCTGATGCAAACATGTCTAGGGCTGAAACCAATACTCGAATAACTCTATTAAATTGATTTAAAAAAAAGTAGACTTTTATTTTGTAAATCGACCCTTTGTTCATTCACTTGCGGGTTATTTAATCTCCATCTGGTGTAACTTTCTGGTTATTTAACAACAAGCTTGCTGGTTCTGCTACTCAAGCTCCAACTGATCATACAGTTATGCAACAGGACGACTGTAACAGGGATTAAGACACCCAGAGAAAACCCAGAGAAAACCCCAAAACATTTCCAAAGTGTGGGAATAATTCAAACTCAAGCCCATGGACAAGACCACTAGCTTAGTGCTAAGCTAACATCACACTAAGCTAACGTCACGCTAAACTAGTGGTCCACAACAGCACTACGTCGCCAGCACAAAGCATCCAGGTTTCAGGCATCAGCTACGTACCTAAGACAATGTGTGTGCTTTAGAGTCGAAATGAAGATAAACTGAGAATCACCAGTTTGCTAACTGAGAAGTCTTTAGCTGCTACCCCTAAAAGCCAACAAGCGTGTTTTTCCCCGTGTTTTATTGCAAGTCAGTATGAGAAAGACTAAAATGTTAGTCTGTTTTGGGGTTTATGATTTTATTGTTAGAAAAACAATCATAGTGGTTAGCTGGTAAACTAAATTCCTTTTCTCATTATTTCAGGAATCTACATCCTTTGACAGACTGGCCCGGGCAAATCCATCCTTCTCAGCTGAACATGCTGCTGAGTTAAAGACATCAAATGAAGAGGAACTGAATAAAATAAATGTTGTTATATAATGAACAAGTCGACTTGTTTTTCACAACTAGTTCTGCTCTGTTTACCTTTTTGCCGCATTTTCAAGGAAACATAAGGATTATCCGATTAATTGATTGGTTACTGAGGCAAATTAACTGATTACCAAAATAATCTATATCTGCAGCCCTAAACATGTCTGTGCAGTAGAATGGAGGAATTAGCAATTGTCTGATCATGCTGTTTAAAAAGGGGACACCAGGGACACACAGACGAGCTGCAGCACTTAACGGATAAAGAACAAAGTCACTTCTAAAACCAAAGGATAGACTGGAGCTACAACATCAATATTAAATGGGTCCTTCCTTCAAATACTGATCACGGGGGTGGGTTGCACCCAGATGGTACATCCTCCATGCTAAACGTGCATTGCGTGCTGTGCAGCTCTTTGAGTCAGATGCTTTTTTGCCACATTTATGTAAAGACAGAATTCTTTTAAATGCAGCCTTTTATGAATGTGGACGGACTGCACCAGCAGTGTTTGGCTGGCAGTGCTGGAGGAGGAGCAGGTGTCTCGTGGTTAGAGCTCCGTGAATGAGATCAACATGCTTAACTCTAAAAGGCTCCATTGGTGAGTTCAGGCCTAAGTATTTTACTATGCAAACACAAAAAGTTGTAACTCACTGTTAGAACCAACATAAATAAGGAGAACACTAATGAATCCATTTATTTTAATTTCAAAAGGAATCTGCTGTCTCACCCGGTAACTTAGATGGTGGCTCCTGCACAGTCCCCACTGGGCTCTTTCCACTTGGGCGATTATCCGCTGAAAAGCACAGAAAAAACACACCAAACACAGAGAAGATGACTTGGAAGGTGCACAATGTCCTAAGTCAGTGAGTAACTCAGGGAGAGTAAGCTCCAAAGGAAAAAAGACCTAATCATTATTTCAAACATGAAAGTTGTATGGATGTGGCCATCACCACCTCCTGTCTGTAACTAAAAACCCGTGGTGGCCGGAGTGACGGGCCTTGACTCGTGTCAACCCCTTCAGGGTTCTGGCTAAATCAGAGAGACAGTTTCACAGCTTCAGTGGTGGCACTTTAATAATGCCTTACAGCTCACAGGGGCCCCCATCACTGTAGTAAACACACACCCACACACACAGAAACACCAGCAGCATGGCTTTACTCAGCCCTGCAAACAGAGACGGGTATAGCAATGCTGCTTTATGAGTAAGAAAACACACATCAGATGAAGTGGTATAGATACACACAGCACATTCTTCCACAGCACTGGAGTTTATTAGCTGCCAGTCCTGTGAGCTGCCCTTCCATCACCGAGTCCACAGGCACCGTTAATGTCCACCATGTGCAAAGGCCGGTGCTCTGCTCTGCCTTCACCCCTAATGGCACGGCCTTAAAAATACCCAGCATCCATTTATTTCAGCGGCAGCCTGACCAGGCATCCATCAGCCGACTATCTGCCTCTGTTACATCTCTCTTCTTAAGCCATTAGCATTCTGCTGCCCTAGATAATTGTGTGTCGATTAGTCTGCCCCCCATATGTATTTAGGCTGATGCTTAGGGGAGTCTATTAGTCTGCTAGAACTTGTTAACAATGCTCTGCCATTTGTAAGATGCACATGTGCTAAACTGATCAATAGGAAGTACTGGCCTAATCAAGTTTTGAGCCTCGTTAACGTTTGCAGGCTTTTGGACGTGTGCGTCTGTGAGTGTGTTAAGTTCCAGGCAGTGTAAGTGCATGATGGATGACGGACCATGCAGTTCTGACATGTGGTCTGAGAATAGGCAAGTGGTAACTCAGCTATTCATCAGCATCATGTGACGTTAGCGTGTCCCAGCATGCTCAGACTCTAGTGTCAGACACAAGGCCCCGTGGAGCATTTTTATGTGGCCTGCGAGAAAAATATCAAAAATATATTAAAACTGACCCGCTGGCCGATTTTACCGCAAATACTACAACTCCCATGATGCTTTGTGGCATTAGCCAGAGCCAAAGCGCCCCTTCCTTTCTGGTTTTTTTTCCAGCGTCTGCTGCCGGTGTCTCCAGCTCCGCTGTCTCGGACAAACTAAACACTCCTCTCACTCAGTGCCGCGCTTACTCAGCTATTTGTCGACGTTGAAGCCCAGAAACGGAGATTTTAACCGCTCAGTAATGTGTTCACAACTGAAAGAGAAAGTTTTCCAACTAACTTCCAGACAGAGCTGATATAACTCCAGCGAGCAGTGACACGCTCAAATCAGCATGACTCTGTGGCTGCTGTAGTTTTTATTTTTCCTCCCCGACACACAACAACGTGGTCCAGCTGCTCAGATGCTCTCCATGTTCACCAGCACAAACTTATGTGAGCACCTGTTGTCATCTAATGTTGTCATTATTATGATGAAGATGAACAAACAACAGGAGTCTCCTCCTCAGCTCAGATCAACCCCATGATGCAGGTATCTGGCTGGAACAGGTGAGCATCACAGTAAATCAGTGGAACAAACTGAGCTTTAAATATTTTGGTTTTATGCTCTTTTTCTGCTCCAAAATATGAAAGTTCACAGGTGAGATATTGCATTTTCATTTAAGATAAAATGATATTTTTATTTGGTTGTTGGCCCGTGAGAAAAGATTTAACCTGCAGTAAACAGGAAGTGGAAAGACGGCAGATAGGATAGAATAGAATAGAAAATCCCTTTATTGTTCTTCAGTGGGGAAAGCTAGATGTCACAGCAGTGATGACACTTATTACAGGAGAAAAAAAGGAGAATAAAAAATAAGAAAAATGAATAAATCCTGATTAGATTTTAAAAATGCTGAATATACCACAAGTAATGAATACCACTGATGCCTTTTATTTAAAACTGACTTGCTTGTGTGTAATTTGGTTATTCCACATTCAGTGTTAATGCAGAAATAAGTTGTTTCCAAATTAAAAGGTTCAAATTTGCATATATGTTGATAAAGAAAATGTGCAAATTTGCCGTCACTTTTTCAAAAATTATTGTTTGGACAGCGACTTCGTCCCAGATTTTCATTTCGGCCCCGTGTGAATTTGAGTTTGACACGCCTGCTCTAGAACCTGAGCTTTCATGACTGTTACTAACAAACATTATTCAAGTTTCTAAAAGCCAGAAAATTGGAGATGAGAGATCATTTTAGTCTCTTAAAGGTGCATTATGTAAGTATTTTACAATGAAATAATCCTAAAACAGGTAAGGTCACACGAAACTCAGCCAGTCAGGTGTTTATATTTCTCTTTTCAAAAAGGCCAAAGAGGGACATAGTCTTTGTTTACAATCGGTGAGCCGCGAGGTTGCAGAGTCTGCGCCAAGCTAACGCTGAGTGAGCAGTAGCCATGAAACACACAGAACGGGAGTGAGATGGTGACCAGTGTGGGTTAGAGCACAGGATCTCATTCTTACAGAACACACCTTTAAAGCTGGGGTGTGTAGTACAGGTGAAACTGTACTACGCTTCCCTTTAACAGGCAATACTGCAGATTACCAGCTAACATGGTGCTAGCTTGAATGTTACCTTAACCTGTGTGCTTCAGCGCTACAGAATAGTTGCACCACAGAAATGTTCCCAGAAGCTCAGAGCTCCATCAGTCTACTGTTAAACCTTTTATGTGTCAGGTTGGGAAACCCGGCAACATAAATATTTATACCTGCACAGAGTGGTGGTTTTCCTGACCAGCTACCATCGGACCTGCAGGTTCTGTGTTCTGATCCTCCAGCCAGGTAGAAGCCAGGCTGACATGTATAGATCAGTGTGTAGCCAAGAGACGGCAGCTCAATGGCCCTTACGTCGGACTGGCCCGGCAGCTCAGGCTGGCTGCAGTGGTGGGCTGGCGAGGAGGATGAGAAAGGTAGGTGTCAGCTTTGAACGGTGTGGCAACTGTAATACCTGTTTATGTGCCTCTTACCAATGCACTCAGGCTGAAATCCACTCCAGGTCAGGTTGGGCAGACATGTGCGAGAGATGGAGCCCTGCAGCAGGTAGCCTTTCCTGCAGCTGAAGAACATGGTGCTGCTGATCTGTAACAGAACATCAGGATCAGGACAGCAAGCTGGACATAAAGATTTGATTTGGCCCATTCCATGGTTTTGGAGGAGTTCTTCTCAAATATCTAGATATTAGCAAATGAGCCAAGTTCATCACTGGTCTTAAGGAAGAGCAGTGGAATGACTGGCCTCCGTAAACCATTGACACTGCAGCGATCATCGATTCCACTCTGGCAAAAATGCCAGAAGTGAATGTTGCCACACGAAGCTGAAGGGAAAAATGCCCTTTTGAGATTTAATTGGATGTCTGTTCTATATATGAACTCAACTGAAACAATGTTTCCACACCTGGTAGCCTTGGCTGTTGTTCTGGTTTCCAAACAGGGGAGTGCCAGGATCTCCACAGGTTGTGTGACTGGGATCTGAAACAACAACAATTCCGGTAACTCCTCGTCTATTCGGTCCAGTTTGACAGAAATGAAGGAGCAAAGGTCGTTTTCGGTGCGTAACACTCAGAAATAATTCCTATTGGTTCTACCCAAATGTGGAGATTTAGACAAGGAGCTGTGGTGACAGCTGTGTTATTGTCCATGAGGATGACTTTATGCTGGATTAAACCGTGCCCACCTTTCTATAGTAGCTGCGTGTTTTTAGTATTAATAACTTTTCAATATATTTACACATTAACTGGCTGTTAGAAGGAGCCATTGACAATGATTTGGATGCAAATAACCAATTCTATCAAATAAATATTTGAAGAAAAGACATAAAACTAAACAAGCACCTTAATCTACTCTATTTCTAATCAGAAACACCTAAAACACATTTAACAGTTGAGCAGTCCTTCTGTAAACAACCTTCCCCATCTTTCCTCCATCTGGGATTCTTTCATTTCATTTAGAGTAGGGGTGAGATATTCCAGGCCTGGAGGGCCGGTATCCGGCACATTTTTGTTTTAACTGCTTCAACACACCTGATATCAATCAGCAGAGCCGGATGAGCTGCCACACAGGTGATTCAACCACTAATCAAGCATGCTGGAGCAGAAGAACCTCCAAAACCTGTTGAATACCGGCCCTCCAGGACCAGGATTGGGCACCCCTGATTTAGACGGTGAAACTCTGGGTTTAGAAACGCCTGACAGATCTACGTCACACTGTCACTTAACATTCAAGGACTCACCCATCAGGAATCACGATGGGGAAGGCTGTTGTTGGTTTAGCGTCCAGGAAACAGCAGAGAACGTCTCAGCTAGTAGAAGCTAACTGTTAGCAATAGCAACTCCAACACACAGCGGAACTCCTCCAGGATTGAGTTATTTGTGGAGATAAAACATTGACGTATGTTGCAGAGCAAACAGAGTCGGTGGTGGAGATGTGTTGCTGTTAGCCAATCAGAGGAGAGATGTCCACATATCAGGAAGCAAGACTGGAAATCCAATTGTGTTCAACTCCCCTCTGCTCTGACCCATTCTAGTTCCTGAAACCGGAGCGCCAGTTTTCTTTTGAATTTTTTAACAGCGATCGACTCACCATGCATTCTTTACTACTAGAGACCACTGCGGAAGTATTAAAATACAAGTGAAGGACCTCTTCAAGACATTTAACGTTAAATGGGTCCAGTTTCATAAAACTTTTCCCACAATGGAAATCAGATTGTTTTAAACAAAGTGACTAATGAATGTTCCCAATAGAATAATCATCACAGAGATGCTTTGTACATATTTTGTTACACTAAACCAACCCTGAGGCTTAAAGACTGAGTCTAGTTTATCTGGGATGTGTATTTCTACCCAAAACCTCTGAAATAATATTTGTTTTTAGCTAAAAAGGTGCTTTTGGGATTTTTAAGACAGTCCAGCAACTGATCTACCAGCCACTGGACAACCTGCTCTACCTCCTGAGCTAGAAAGTCCTAGAGTTTCACTGTCTATTTTCTATCAGAAGTTAATGCGGGAGGTAGGTGTTCAGCTGCGTCAAACACTCAATTCTAATCAGTAATAATCATTAAAACATGGTTTCTCAGTGAAGCTGACCTTAAGTATTTGTGTGATTTTAATAATAACTGCTATAAACTGTACTGAGTACATTCTGGTATAACCAGTTTCCATCCCAACATTTAGGACAATGTGAACTGAAGTTACAATAAAACATGGAATTAGCTTTGGGCTGACCTATGCAGGAGGGCTGGGTGCCGCTCCAGGTGCCGTCGTACTGGCAGTATCTCCTGGCTGAGCCGACCAAGACGAGAGGTGGGTGGCAGGAGAAGGAGACAGAGGACAGATAAGTGAAGCCACGGTCCTCCCTCCTTCCCTGAGCTGGAATTCCAGGATCTCCACAGAACACAGCTATAAAGAGGGTGGATATGGCATGTGTTATGTATGTCGTATGGGGTGAAACTGGATCAGGATGTGAGGTAACTGATCGGGATCACTAACGGAAGCACTGTGGTTTCTCTCCACTCCAGTTGCCGTTGCCCTGACATGTTAACACGGTGGGAAGAGACAGCTGGTAGCCCTGGTTGCAGGAGTAGCTGATGCTGGAGCCCCACGTGAAGTCTGTCCCAACGACTTGTCCGTTTGGGATGGGAGGTGGTAGCCCACAGACAATTGCTAAAGGGGGGCAAAGATGCATATTTGTTTTGTTTTAAAGTTTGTTCCATAACGTAAAAATGACCAACAAATTACTGGTCTGTCCCCTCATCTCTGCAACTGTCAGACCAGTGAGCGGGTTGGTACCTCTACAGAGCGGCTTCGTCCCATTCCAGGTTCGATCCTTGGTGCAGACGAGGGACGAGGCCCTGTCTGCGTCCATCGTGTAGCCAGCAGAACACTGGAAACTGACCGTGTGGTTGTAAGTGAAATCATTCCCAAACCTCACCCCGTTAGCCGGAACTCCAGGATCTCCACAGTTGATGACTGGATAAAACACAGAGAGCATTTTCAGATCCAAGAAACGTGATGAATAATTAGCATTGCCCTGGGGTGGGCTTGTAACCAGTCACGAAACAGATCAGCATTAACCGACTCTTTGATGTTGCTGCTTTTGGTTCGCATTACAAAATAACAAATGCTGCAAAACTGTCTTCTGCATAATTTATTTTATTTAAAGCCTTCTTAAAATATTACTGAACATGGAAACAACCTGTTGGTGTCACATGCTGCTTGTAACAAAAACAGAAAAACTTGACATGAACAATTGTTTCCAATCCCTCCACAAAGCTCTAACAACACAGCACATTTCTCCCTTCTGCTGGGAAAAGTGTGTGAAAGAGCAACGGCTGAGAGAAGTTCATGGTGGAGTCAGCTGCATTGCAGCTCAACTTTGCGGCAAATGTCTCGGAAGGAAAAAGGCACAAAGCAGCCTGAGTGAACTTGCCTTGGGACAATAAGGCATTGTTCAACGTCTGCATCCTACATATTAGAGGAAAAAACTCTTAAGTAGGCCAAAAATGTCCAGAGTGTCTACTTTGTCCACATGCTTTATTGTTGCACTTTGGATCCAAACGTATTGTCCTCTGCAGCCACAACATGCATCTGACTGCTAATGGGAAATTCACATGCCTCTACTTTGATTCGGTCCAATAGGAAGAAGCTGGCTGGGCTGTTTTACTGGAGTCACTGGTCTCTGTAGCACAGTTGTGTGTCTGTTGGAGATATGTTGGTAATATACCTTTGAGTGCAGCATAACCAGCTCTTCCTGCTCACCATCGCTGAAACATTCACTATCGCAGGAAAAATAGCACTCGCCTCTGCTGTGTTGATTTCTCTGAAAGGCTTTTATTGTGAAAGGGTTTCATACCAGTGAAATGAAACAGCTGAGAAAGTCGATACATAAAAAGGTCAAATGTTGTCTAGAGGAAGAGTTTCCTTAAAGCGGAAGGACAACTGGAGGAAGCCTTCCATCAGTAATCATACTTAAGTGTCTGTCTACCATTTAAAAAATAACTGGATCTGGATTCAGAAATGTCTGGATTAGTTAATTCTCTGAGCTGTTCTCATCAAGTCACTAAAATTATCCAAACATTTTCATCTTGTCTCAGTTATAAAATGATTCCTTTTAAAGATTTCATCTATTTTACATTTGATATCCGGTGTGGCAATTTTGATTTGAGGAATTTTCTTTAGTTGCCAGTTCAAATTTCAGATCAGTGACACTGTTGTTTGTGCATGAATCTGTTTACCATTCTGAACCGGTGCAGCAGTAGTTCTGACAAGACTCGGTCTAAACGAGAGCTCAGGACCACTTCTGTGTTGCTAAATTGTAGATAAAGGAAGCTGAAATAAATTCAATTCAGTTTATTTATAAAGCGCCAAATCACAACAGGAGTCATCTCACTGACCTTCACACAGTAAACATTCCAATACAGATCAGTTCATTAAGCCAATCAGTAAAAAGTTTCATATATAAGGAACCCAGCAGGTTGCATCGAGACACTGACTAGTGTCAGAGAGTCTTTACAGCAATCCTCATACTAAGCAAGCATGCAGCAACAGTGGAGAGGAAAACTCCCTTTTAACAGGAAGAAACCTCCAGAGAATACACACACACACACACACACACACACACACAGACACACACACACACACACACACACGCTCAACATATATACCAAGTAGTGTTTATATGGCTACATTGTGATTTTTTAGTAAACATTCTATTTGGTGAGAAATAAACTTTATTTTTTTTATCTTATTGAACCTATAATTAATTAAACAGGTGAACTGAAGCATTAGCACCTAGAGCCTGAGGAGTATGGGGTACCAAGTGTAAATTCTTGGTGCAAATTAGTTAAAAGACACTTTTTATATTTAGCTTTTACCCCGTACATTTAGCAATTATTTTCACATTTAAAACAATGTTTAAATGTCAAATAATTGCGGCTAATCCAGATCTTCTTTATAAACCTAAATGTTAAATCTAAATCAGAATGAAAAATCTAAATTTTAAACCTAAATCTAAATACTAGGTGTAAATGTTAAATTTAAATGCAAAGGTCAAATCTAAATCTAAATGGTAAATGTAAAGGTTAAATATAAATCTAGAAGTTAAATCTAAATCTAAACGCAGATGTTAAATGTAAATGGAAAAGTTGTACGTAAAAGGTAAACGTATATCTAAATGTTAAATCTAAATCTAAATGTTAAATCTAAATATTAAATATATATCTAAATGGTAAATCTAAATGTTAAATATATATCTAAATGTTAAATCTAAATGGTAAATCTAAACCTAAATGTTAAATCTAAATGTTAAATATATCTAAATGTTAAAAATATATCTAAATGTTAAATCTAAATCTAAATGTTAAATCTAAATATTAAATATATATCTAAATGGTAAATCTAAATGGTAAATATATATCTAAATGTTATATCTAAATGTTAAATCTAAACCTAAATGTTAAATCTAAATCTAAATAATAAATCTAAATGTTCAGTCTAACTCTGCCCATTTTTGAGCAGCCTGTGTTTACAACTGGTGGACTATTGAAAACAGATCACGTGGGATGACTGGTGACTTTTCTAGCCTACCTGATAGGATTTTATATTGAAATTTATTTGTATTTATTTTAGTTTAATTATATTTATATTTTAATTATCATGCCACACCTTGTGTCTGATTTTGTGAAAAGCTTGATAAAATGTGTTTTTAGTTGGGTAAGCACCAAGCCCCCACAATGCGGCTCAAAAATTGAGGCCATCCCGGAAGTACCAAAAATTGCAGTTCCACCCTCATCCACTGGGGGCTGGTGTCAGAAGCGAGCAAATCCTCATTGACTCCCATGTTAAAAATACCAATTTCACAGCAGAAATAAACATGTTTACAGCCTGGTACCAAAACATGTTTTTGGTTTAAATTATCTAGTTTACACTCATGACAACTCTGAGGGGGATGAATTTTTTCTCACTCTTCTGTTTAAGTGTATTAAAAGCCTAAAATTCTGTATAATTAATGAGCATCCGACCCACGTGACACCGCCTCAGACCCACGTGACCACAGAGCTAGCTCTGTGGAAAGGCCTCAGTATAGCCTCGGTCTCTCCTGGAAACTGTTCTGGCATTTTGAGTCTCTGTGTGTGTGTATTCTTTTTTGGATATTATTTGTGCAATTGTTGGACAAAATTACTTGCTGTGGCATTAATTGCACTAATAGAGCGTCCAAGGAGTCTCCACTTCATTTTTTTCGGTAAGTAAAATTATATTTATGTATTTTAGGTCACTGCCGGGCTGAGCTTAGATTTTAACATGTACTGTTTAACCATGAAATTTAAATGTAATAGGGTAAAACCCCGTGCATTTAACATAATGCTGCACTTTAGAAAATGGGTTGAAATATAACATGTTGCTGGAGCTGGGTTCCGACTATCGGCTTGTGGAGCTCTCGGGAGACCTCTGTTTTCCACCCGTTCTCGCCTCCCTGCAGTTCGGCGCATCTCTGTCTGATCGCGGCTTCTGTCTGCTGTGCGGGTTGTCGGCTTGTGGAGCTCTGGGATGGAAACCTTTCCACCCGGTTCTCCCCAGCGGCAGCTCTGCGCATCTCAGATCGCAGTGGCGCTTGTCTGCTGTGAGGCTGCCGGCTTGTGGAGGTCTCGGAGACCTCTGTGTTCCACCCGGTTTTACCCAGCGGTCAGCCCAGCGTATCTCTGACTCAGAAGCTCTGGTGTTGTGCACAGTTAACTCCGGTTGTAGCTAGGTTGCTACCTCCGTTAGCTTAGCTCCCACCTCCGTGTTAGCTTTGGGTTAGCTTCAGGTTAGCTTGTAGCTAGTTCGACTGGGTGTCATCAGTTGATCCCAGCCTTACAGCCCCACTCTCAGCTCCACCTCTCTTCCCTTTTGTGGAACTGTCTGGGCTTGACGGAACCTGTGACACGGTCAAAAATGGCGGTGGTGGCCACCTCCCATTTGGCCTCAAAAACGTGTTATTGGAGCCTATGGAAATGAATTGTCCAGTATTTATATGTTGATGGTAAGCACCTTTCTCAGCGGAAATGTATGCACTGGGGGTCGAATGGAGACCCATCTAAAATGGCAGCCAGCCACTACAGCAGTCCACGGGGACGTCAACATATGTCTGTGGTTGTAGCAATGTAGGTAGAATTTGTTTCCCCTGCATTGGGAGCGTGTGCCGGCCAGAAACAGCAATACGGTGTCATCTCCGCCTTGTTTACTTTTACGAAAAAATGAAAGATGAGTAATTCAGTTTGTGGGTGACAGGCTATATTTTTATTGTTCTAACATGATGTTTGATCAAGCTGAACGTTTCCCTAATGAGAGGATCATGGCATCTGTGTAAACTCCATCCTTATAAAGACAACAGCTTCATTTATACAGCACATTTCATACACAGAGGCAACTCAATGTGCTTTACAGTAGCAAATACACCTGCAAACAGGCTGTCTACTATATTCTATAAAACCTGTAACTTATGGAAGCGTATTCTGCCCCCCAAAAAACAAAACTCTTTTTATGAATTAACGAGATGACTTTGAAAAAAAATTCCCTCCACAGTGCTAATGATGATCTGTGGCATTACTGACTGGCTATGAGAGGAACTAAAACATGTCCCGTTTGTTAAGTTTAATCCACTTTCTCCGTTTTGGGATTGAGACACTGGGAAATAGCTACTCTTCTCTCTAACTAGATGGGTAGGAATCCATCCCTGGATCATCTCCGTCTGTCCGGCGATCTGCGAGAGGGTGGGTTATGATTACGCTTCTGATGTTTTTGTTTTTATTTCTGTAAAAGTTATTTCACAACAGACCATTTTATTTTTATTTTTTCGGCTGAATGTGCTTCCATAAGCTACAGGTACAGCTAGTGTCCAGCAAAAGCAAATAAAGTAAAAGTAAGCACAATTGGCCAAACTTTCTTGTGGGCTCGGCCACATATGGCTAATTTGCATATAACAGAAATATTTAGCTCACAGATTTAGATTTAACATTTAGGTTTAGATTCAACATTTAGATTTATATATACATTTAACTGTTAAATCCAACATTTAGATTTAACATTTAGGTTTTAATTTTTATTTAACATTTACTGTCATGTTCTGTGTCCCTTATGGGCCATTCCCATCTGTACCGGGTCGGCCCGGGCCGGGTAGCGTAGGTTGTTTACATATCTGGGTGGCCTGGTATTTTTCCGGGCCAACCAAGGCTCATTCTCAGCCCTCTTCTCGAGGGGGTCTGCTTCAGGCCGACCAGGGCCAACACACCCACTGCTGACAGCAAATTCACACCTTCCATTAGAGCAAGCCTCTGATTGGTGGGTAGAATCAGCCCACATGGGCTTAAGACAAGGATGTGTGGAATCAACCGGGCCAGGCTGGGGCCGACTGGGGCTACCCGGCCCGGGCCGACCCGGTACAGATGGGAATGGCCCATTTGTTCCCCAGCTCCTCCAGTTCCCACTCCAGGTTCTCCTTTTGTGTTTCATGGCACCCTCATGTGTCCTTTGTCTGCGTCTTTCCCCATGTGTCTCCTAATGTTTCTCCATCCTCTGGGGATTCCCTTTTGTGTTCTCTTAGCGCCCTCATGTGTCCTTTGTCTGCATCTCTGTTGTGTGTCAAGTTATAGCCACAGCCTCTTGTTCCCCAGTTCTTTGTATGTGTGTATGAGTTTGTGTGTATCAGTATGTGTATGTGTTTGTGTGAGTTCTTCCCTTAGTCTTTAGGTTTAGTTTTGTGTTTTATATAGTGTTAGGTTTATCTGCCCTCCACTGGTTCTCTTCCCCATCCAGATAATTGCTGTCACCTGCCTTCCCTCCAACCTCACTCCACACACCTGCTTCCTGTTTCCCTAATTGCTCCTCCCTGTCTATATAAGCCCTCCTTGTCTCATTGTTCTTGTCAGTCCATTGTTGTTTTATGTCAGCGTTGTTTGTTGTCTCTCCCTCCTGGTCTCTGGTTCTCTGCTCATGAAGTGAGCTTTTGGATTTTTCCCTGCTTCAATTTGTTATTGGGTTTTTTGCCTCCTGCCCCTTTTGGATTTTTATGTTGTCATCCTAAATAAAGGATTCTTCTTTAATTAACATTTCTGCCTCGTGTCATCCTGGGTCTGCATCTTGGGTCCTAACCTCCTGCTCCTAAACGTGACATTTACATTCAATTTAACTTTGATGTTCATATTTAACATTTACATTTAATATTTAGATTAAGGTTTAACTTTTACTTTTAGATTAGAAATTTACGTTTAGCATTAATATTTAGGTTTAGATTAAACATTTACATTTAGCATTTATATTTAGGTTTGATTTAACATTTTCTTTTAGATTTAAAAGTGGGATTTACATTTAGATTTAATGTTTACACTTAGCCTTTAGATTTAGGTTTAGATTTAACATTTAGATTTAGATTTAAAAGTGAGATTTACATTTAGATTTAACATGTACACTTATTATTTCGATTTAGGTTTAGATTTAGCATTTAGATTTAAATTCAACATTTAGATTTAACATTCTGATTTAGATTTAGACTTAACATTTAGAATGGATTAAGATTAGCTGAAATTATGACATTTAAACATTATTTTAAATGTGACAAAAGTTGCTAAATGCAGGAAAAATTAGCTAAATGTCAAAAATATGTCTGCTAAATAATTTGAACCAGCAATTTACACTTGGAAACCAACCAGACAAACTACAATGCTGTAACTCATTTAAAAAACTCGAGTGGTCTGATACATACCGACACATAAACATCAGAACTTTAACGCTGACATAATGTTGCCCCAATGGCCTCTATGTAAATGTTAATCATCCCCAATAACAGCTTTCAACTCCGTACATGAGTTCAGAGTCCAGGTTTGTTCATAATAATTGTTTGGTCTTTCCTGCCAGCCAGTGTGTGTGCGCGCGCGTGTGTGTTTCCCGTCTGTAGTGCCTCTCGTGAACACAGCTCTGTGGTGGTAAATGCCAGTTAGCTTTGTAAAGAGCATTAACAGACAGCACCATGCCACACCGACGGAACAAACACGTCTGTTTGCTGGCATAAAAAGAGAAACTCTTTGATTTGAGAGGATAAACAGCACTATGGTCTTTGGCAGGAAATTATTCACCAAAAACAGGATCAAACACACTGAAAAGACATTTTATCCGCTGATTGTTTTATTTAAAGAGCCGATAATAGCTTACTGTCTATGTGCATAAACATGTACTTTTATTAGTTTTCTTCAAAGTGTTCTCTAAGTGTCTGTGCTGCTGAAACAAGTGAATTTCAGAGACCAGAATGAGCCAATGGGTGGGGGTGGGGGGTCCTATCCCTGTACGGTTCTGTGGTATCATGACTGGTAACAATAGGGTCAGCAGCGCCGTGGTTACCTGAGCACTCTGGCATGTTGCCCGTCCAGGTCCCGTTCACGGTGCAGTGTCGGGTCAGCAGCCCGGTCGAATAGTAGCCCTCCCTGCAAGTGTAGGTGATGGATCTGGAGAAAGTTAGGCCATCGTGGATCAGGATCTGGGCGTTTCGGGGGGTTCCAGGATTTCCACAAGAAATCACTAAAGAGAGAGAACCGGAAATTATTAATGAGCTAAATATAAAATCCCACGAGATCAAAGTTAATGAGGTTTGCTGTATTTGTGTATTGGTCTGTGTAATTCCCTTAACCTAAACCAGGTAATTATACAACATGTGGAACAACAGACAATCAATAAAACATTGATCAGCACGTGTCTTACTGCCTCATTTTATTAACATTTTGTTCCCCAACATCACATTTTTGACCTCTCCCACTTGTACTCTTTGCCTTTAATCTTTTCCTCCTGCCACCATCACCTCCCTCCCGTTTCCATCTCCTAGGTAACTCCGCTCTGATGGACATTTCCTTTGCTCACAAAATCCCTTGGTGTCTGTCCAGCCGCCCCTGATGGTTCTGTTCATTACAGTCTCCAGCTTGCCCTGGGCCATCACAGCCCCATGGGCATCACCATCCCATAATGACCAGATGTAGCCTGGCCCTTGAAGTCTGTGCCAACTGGGAACAGGTGTGCAACCTCGACTCGAGCACACCGCACGCCGAGCGAGGTGAGGCGTAGCTGTGGCGGGGGAGGGAGGGGGTGTTGAAGTGGACACATCCTGGGAAACACGATGATCTTTCTGCTAAATCAAACATCAGAAAATGGTTTTCTCCTCTGTCTGCAGGGGAAATGGAAGCAACGGTGTGGAACGAGAAAACTTCCAAACTTTCTAGTTTTCAGTGACAGAAATTTATACAATTGACTTTCCTTTTTTAAACAACTTGAATAAATAATAAAAACACAAAACAAGATTCAACTGTTCAGGTAAGTCTGCCTTTTCTGCACAGCAGAGGAGCTGGTGTGTTGTTTGGTTCAGTATGAAGACAGAAAAGCGTACGCTGACTGTTTCAGGTCCCTGATCGTGGTCTGGTCATTTGAGGCCAATCTTTTGGGATTCGATTCTATGAACATTTTGGAGAGTAAAAACTCATGGAGGTAAAAGAACATGAAAAATATATAAAATATCCTCACAATATGCACTTTATTGTCTTCCTCTAAAGTCAGGAGCCTCTGGAGGGAATGAGGTAAATCCCACAGTAGCTAGGACTTGGTTAAAACACACAATAATGAAAAGCACAGGAACATGTCCTTAGGTTGGGCTTCATGCCAGCATCAAGATTTGATCCCAAAAAGCTCAACATGAGGTGGTGCATCAAAGTGGCATGGAAGGCTGTGGGTGTGAGGACGGTGGACAGTCCACAGTGAGCCGGTAAGGTCTACTCAGAAAAGGGTTAGCGTTAACTAATCCTTCATGTTTCAGGTTTCATGTCCAGAAACTAGACACACCTTCAAGGTATAGGTCCTGTAGTGCTGTAGTGCCTTCTAGAGTCCTAGAAACCCCCTAAGGCACTTTACCACACACACACACACACACACACACACACACACACACACACACACACACACACACACACACACACACACACACACACACACACATAGCCACAGCTGCCCTGGGGCACACAGACAGGTAGGGTTGCCATAAACAGGTGTCACTCAGACCACCAGCAGGCAAGGAGGGTGAAGTGTCTTGCCAAAGGTCACAATGGCTGTAACTGACTGGTTGAGGCTTGAACCTGCAACCCTCCAGTAACAAGATGGACACTTAACTCCTCTGCCATTGTCACCCCTGTATGCAGGTAAGTATTCATCATGAATTTGTCATTGGCTGCTCTGGAGGAGCTTTAAAAACCACGGAAACAAGAGAAAGTGTACGCTCCACTCATTACCGTGACACTCTGGTTGAACGCCTAACCAGCTTTCATTGGCAAGGCAGGTTCTCTCCGACGAACCCTTCAGAAGGTAGCCAGGCTCACAGCTGAAGCGGACAACACTGCCCACGCTAAATTTGTCTCCGAGGCGAATGCCATGCACAGGAACACCTGGATCTCCACACAAGCCTCTCGATTCCCCTAAAAGATACAGAATAATGGCAGAATAAAGGTGACACACATAAAGAGGCACATTCTGTGGACTCGGCTTTTATGAACAACATGATGGCTTTTCTTTATTTGACTGCGCCTGACATAAATGTTGCACCTCAGGTCAATATTTCTAGTCTAACAAGCACACAAACCGTTTAGAGCCGTAGAAACTGAGCTCAGTGTTTATATTACAAGGCAAGAGCCAACCGTAACATCACGCAAGGAGGAACCGAACCTTTGTGTTTACGGCCTGTTGAGAGAGGGCGGCAGTCAGGGGATGGAGGTGCATGTCATGGATTATGACATCAAACTGCAAATGTACTGTCACACAGCATGTGTGTGTGTGTGTGTGTGTGTGTGTGTGTGTGTGTGTGTGTGTGTGTGTGTGTGTGTGTGTACGTACTAGCATGCATGCATTCATGTAAGTGTGTGCATGCATGCATTCGTGTGTGTGTGTGTGTGTGTGTGCATGCGTGTTTGTGTGTGTGCATGTATCTCTGTGTGTGTGCTAGCATGCATGTATGTATGTGCATGTGTTTGTGCACATGCAAATGTGTGCGTGTGTGTGTGCATATGCTTATGTGTGTGCATGTGTGTGTGCACATGCATATGCATGTGTGTGTGTGTGTGTGTGTGCATGCATGCATGTTTGTGTGTGTGCATGTATCTCTGTGTGTGTGCTAGCATGCATGCATGTATGTGCATGTGTTTGTGCACATGCAAATGTGTGCTTGTGTGTGTGTGCATATGCTTATGTGTGTGCGTGTGTGTGCATGTGTGTGTGCACATTCATATGTGTGTGTGTTTATTATGTGAAGTGCCTTGAGATGACTCTTGTTGTGATTTGGCACTATATAAATAAAATTGAATTGAATTGTGTGTGTGTGTGCGCACATGCATATGTGTGCATTTGTGTGTGTGTGTGTGTGTGTGTGCGTGCGCGCCCATGTGTGTGTGTGTGTGGGGGGGGGGACGACTCATGGCAGCTCAGAGGAACATGGCTGCTAGAGGAGAAGGGGGCACTGATTTTTAACAGCTTCATAACCCGGCGCTGATGTGAGGAGATTAAAGCAGGTTTATGGAGGAGACTGTTTGCCCTTGACGCCTGTGGAACAGACCGGCTCTTCTACCTACCTCGTCCTCCCAGTAGCTCCAACACCAACTAGGTATTTTTGTGATGGTTTGGCTGTGACTAGGAGAATGTTTCACATCTGTGTTATTGCAGTGTGAGATAGAAAGGTGATGAACACAATTGCATTGTTTCTCATTCATCTTTGAATATTGGGACAATTAGTGGGTCACTTCAGTTGACCAGTCCATACCAGAGCAGTGTGGTGGGGAGCCGCTCCACTGCCCATCCAGCTGGCACATCCGTGTGGTGTTACCAATGATGGTACGCTGGTCCGTGCAGCTGTAGCGAATCACCGAGCCCACACTCCGACGATCGCCTGAGATCTGAGCGTAGGGAGGCACGGTGGGGCGGTCACAAAGCACCGCTGTCCAATCAAAAACAGTGTCAAATACCACATTTTAGAAAAGATACTTCCTAAAAATACCTACAGCTGCTGAGAGTACTTACACAGACATTTGGGCAGTGAGCGGTCCCAGGTGCCATCCCCCTGGCAGGAGATGGAGCTGGTGCCCAGCAGGTAGTAGCCCGGGTTACAGCGGTATGACATGGTGGTCTGGAAGCTGTACCGATGAGGCCCGCTGGACAAAACCTGTCTGATGCTGTTCTCCGCATGACCTGGCTCTGTGCAGTTCACAACTGGGGGTGAGAAGGGGGGCTTTAGCAGCCTGCTGTAAAATCTTAGCATAAAACATTCAAGGTTGTGTGCAAAAGTTTTAGGTAGTGGTGAAAACAAGCAAAGAATGCTTTCAACAATGCTCATCATTTATCTTCATCAACAACAAAGAATGAACAAAAAAAAACCTACATCAGATCAGCATCTGCTGTGAACACCCTGCCTCCAGAGCAGCAGATCTTCAGCTACACCTGAACACCGCTGTGGAAGCAACTGGGCCGGAACTAACCCAGATCCCAGACACACTCCATCATGCTGAGATTAGGCTCTGTGGGGGCCAGACCAGCCCATCCAGGACTTCAGGTTCTTCTTTATGCTGAAGATAGTTCTGAAGGACTCTGGCTGGATGTTTGGGCTCAGTCATACTTTGGTGTTTTGTAAATTATAAAAAGAAAACAATGATTTATATTTCTGAAAGCATTCTTTGTTTACAGCAGTTTTGCACAGAACTGTAGGCATTTACGCATCAGTCATCTGTCCACTCAGATCCAAACGCATTAAAAGATGGTTGGTTTCATTTCACCACAGGAAATCTGCTGGTTGCTGCAACGGAAAAGTGATGGAAGGAGAACCAGGAGAAAGAGAAGCTCTGTCCCTCTCAGAGATGAAGACGGCTGGTGGGTGTGTGATGTGTGTGAGGCTCTGGTAGTGCAGGATTGTAACAGAATGGGAGCCAGAAACAATCAGCAGCAGTTCATCGTGTTTATCTCGTATACAGGCCGTGAACTATTGCCTCACCAAACAGTTGCTCTCCAGCCCACACTTCTAATCACAACTTTATGTATACATTGATGCCAGAGCAGTAATGGTTTCTAAAACACTGCCTTGGATTTCCCCCAGAACCATTATACCCCGGTCTCACGCTTATAAATGCATCTCTGCTCCAGCCAAAACAGACCCGCTGTATGCTAATGTGCCTGAACGCTCGCTCATTTCCATGCTCCCAAGCTAGCCAGCACTGCTATATCACCCCCCCAAATATCTATTATAATGTATTCCTCCCAGCGGAGTACTGACCTGTGGTGCCATCATTTACAACTTACTGCATAATAACACCACAAAGTCTGCAAGAGGCTGCTCAAGCTGCAACTGGGTTTTTAACAAACGTGCCCAAAAGGGGTTCCAGTAGTGGGCCGAAAGCACCGGGCTGCTGGTAAAATCCACAGAGACGAGGAGAAGGAAGGAAAAAACAGAAGGAGGGAGGAGGAGGCTCACTGAGGGAATCGTGTTCATTCAAGTTCAATTGAAAAGTGGGACCCTGGTCCACCTCTAGTCCTGAATCTCTTCTATAAATGAGTTCTTATTGTGCCCTGCAGACATGGATCATCTTACTTTGTGTTAAAGAGAAACACGCAGACAGTCAGACAGTCAGTCAGTCAGAGAGACAGACAGAGAGACAGGTAGAGAGACAGAGAGACAGACAGACAGATGGACAGGTAGAGAGACAGAGAGACAGACAGACAGACAGACAGACAGACAGACAGGTAGAGAGACAGCGAGACAGACAGACAGACAGACAGACAGACAGACGGACAGGTAGAGAGACAGAGAGACAGAAAGACAGAGAGACAGAAAGACAAACATAGAAACAGACAGACAGAGACAGACAGAGAGACAGACAGAGAGACGGACAGACAGACAGACAGACAGATATAGAGACAGACAGAGAGGCAGACAGACAGATAAAGAGACAGAGAGACAGATAGATAAAGAGAGACAGACAGAGAGACGGACAGACAGGCAAACAGACAGATATAGAGACAGACAGAGAGACAGACAGACAGATAAAGAGACAGAGAGACAGATAGATAAAGAGAGACAGACAGAGAGACGGACAGACAGGCAAACAGACAGACAGACAGACAGACAGATATAGAGACAGATAGAGAGACAGACAGACAGATAAAGAGACAGAGAGACAGACAGATAAAGAGAGACAGACAGACAAACATAGAGACAGACATAGAGATGGACAGACAGGCAAGCAGACAGACAGACTGACAGAGAGACAGAAAGACAGATAAAGAGAGACAGACATAGAGACAGACAGACAGAAAGACAGACAGACAGACAGAGCGTAGGTGACCTTATGTCTCTGACCGACTCATTTCCTGCTCCCATCCTGGCTGCTGACCTCTGACTGAATTCCTCACAGAAAAGTGGCAATGCTTTTGACCAAATGGGAGTTAAACACACTTTGTGTGCCACAACAGCGATAATTAATGTAATGAATCTGAAGGACAACACTGTCTAAGCTGCTTGTGTCCTCACGTGGACAGTGAGGATAATGGGTGTCAAAACAAGATACTAGGACGCACACATGGTCCTCACATAAATGCATCTGAGCGTCAGCGCCCGCCTGACACAAGGCTGATGCCGATACGAGGCCTTGCTGGAGCAGATTTAAGGCGTGTGTCTGAGGAAATCTTGTCTGATTATGCATGCAGCCATCAGATGAAACTTTTAAAAGAACTGACGAAGGATGCTTGTGGGACTTGTAACCTTTCTGACTTTTATGAAATCTATATTTGAGAAAAAACCATCCGACTCCTTCTCTCCTCATTTACACATCCTTATAAGTCAATCTGTTGCTGTTTCTGTCACAGCCTTGTCACATTCAGGCCCGATGTCTTTCTGCGCCTGTCAGAAAGCCTTCAGTCTGAAACGACTTAGACAAAGACATGAGTGCAGAGATGCATCGCTTGTTGAATAAACACGGCCAAATTACAAGTCTTTGCCTCACTCATTCAAAGCAGAGCAGACTAATTTTTATTCAGAGTGAAATCCGTGAGGCAGGTCTCCACGGGCTGCTGTCTTTCATGCAACCTCGAGGATCGTGTGATCGTCTTTGTCTGCTTCTGCTCGATTATTACCTAGCTTTGTTTCCCTGGCACACAGGTGAGCCTAAGGGGATAAAAGAGGTGGTTAGGCTGGGAGGAAATGACATCAATCCTAAATATCATCCAGAACTTCTACACAGCTTGTGTCTGAGACCGTGGTAAATAAACTGTTTCAGTTCCTCTAACACGGGCCGGTTAAACTCTCATTTGAGGTCACCTTCAGCCACAGAACATACGACCTCACACAGTCTAGCTGGAAATTTGTGATCTAGCATACAAATGGGTGAAAATAAGAGAAGAGATTCATAATGCCTCCAGGCAAAACTGAAGACATGAGAACTATTTTTTGATTTGTCTAGATAAAACTATTTCATGTCTCTGTAGGACATTTTAATTCCTTCTCTAACGTTCTCGAAGCTTCTTCACAAACAGAGTCAGCGGTAGAGTGGCGTTGCTGTTAGCCAGTATGAGTGATGTTGACCTTTAAGATGTCTAAAATGATACTTTACAGTAATACCTCCTGCATATTCCTGATGTGCAGTATTGGAGCTAGTACCAAAGTGGGAGCCTTTATCCTAGATTCCCTTTGTAAACAGCAGGTCCCTCAACAACAGATGTTCACTTTAATACAAACACACACACACACACACACACACACACACACACACACACACACACACACACACACACACACACACGGGTCCACACCAAGAGGGTTAAAATAAGAAAAAGGTATTAAAATGTACTTAAAATGCCAATGATTCCACACATCACAGTAAAAATGACAGAGCTCTGTGCAGGATTTGTCCAAGACAGGATTATGTGTTGTAACGTACCAAAAGACCACACATTTCACCTAAATCAGCCTTTCTCAAATGGGGGTACGCGTACCCCTGGGGGTACGTAAAGAAACTCCAGGGGGTACATCAGAGAAGCAGACTGTGTCTAAAAAAGAGCTTGATCACAGCAGTTGCCTCCCTGCCACCAAGGATGAAAAAGATCCTCAGTGAAGCACAAGCCCAAGTGTCTCACTAAAAAGTCTATAAAAACACTCCGATCAGTGCAGTAATGTTAAGATTTCAGTCTTCTTTTTGATTTTAAAAAATATATTTTGAGATTTACATTTGTTTTTAGCAATTGCTATTTAAAATGACGTTGATGATTTCTTTCAGAGAACAGATATACTATGATCCCAAAAGAGAACACTTTATGTTGATATGCTTTTTATGAGCACAAATCTTTAATTATAATTAGCTTAATCATTTCTTTGGCCTGTATTTGATTTTTTTTAAATATATTTCTAGTTATATATATATTTTTTCCAAATAGTTCAAGAGATACTACAAAAAATGTGCAGTGTTTTGCACATTTATGGATTTTTCAATGGGTAATCTTATGGTTTTAAATAGTTTTATGGTGACTGTTTTCATTAATTGATTAGAATCACATTTTAGTGATGAAAAATATTTCCAATACATTTAGTTATGGAGTATTAACTTTTAAAATATTCAAAATAGTTTTTTTTTTCCCAAATGGTTGAATTTTGTACTTGTTTATCAGTTTCAAAGTTTAATAAATCAGTCACTGAAGGCACCTATTTAAGGTCTTGTTTTTCACAACCAAAAATGTTTTTGTGCTGATTAGGGGTACTTGGCTGAAAAAAATTTTTCACAGGGGTACATCAGTGAAAAAAGGTTGAGTACCACTGACCTAAATGACCAGAAGTGAACTTACTAACTTACAGGTCATACTTATGTGGTCATGCCACGCTGACATGGTGGTGCCGTTATGGACTCTATGATCTTGACCCAGTAGTCTTAACTTATCCTGTGGTATTTCACAAGACATCAAGATGCTGCAGAAGACTTCTTATCTAGCTTCTTTTAATAAAGCTATCTTTCCTGGCAGGAGAAGGAACTTTCATAAAGTACCACAGAATATGATTGTAACAACTAATGTTGTTACAATCATATTCTGTGGGCCCTACAATATGCTTTTAAATCTGGAGTGTTTAATAGTGTGGAATGGTCTCTACAGTACTGAATGATGGGTTAACATGAATGCTTATTTCTATAATGACTTATTCCAGATCTTAAATTACACCAGATTAGTCTATTTGTTTAATTTAATAATGTTAATCTATCAGTATATTCACACATGAATATTACCATAATATTGTTAAAGAGCAAATTGCAGGTTAATTTTTTTTCTAATTCATATAAAATGCTGTCCAAAAATACTATTTGAAATGCTTATTGTGGCTATTTGGTTTTAAAACAGCAGTTTTCTAGTGAAAAGGGGCCTTTCTCAGCAAAGCTTCTAAAAAGGCTCTTTTTTCTAAAGCTGAACCTCTGACGTAACCAAAGGGAGTTAGAAGCTAGGCTGCCTCAGCTCAGTGTGGAGAGTGGCTAGTTTTAGGGTAGAGAGGTCATGTGATCCAGTCAGTGTGTGCGTTTACTAGTGTTGGCTTGTGTTCATGTTGATAAACTATAGTTTGTGAAAGCTGTACCAACTCCAGCCTGTCTGGACATCGAGTCCACGGGTTTCCAAATGAGAAACAACATCTCTATTTCCATGCCTGATGGCATTTCTGCAGCTGAAAGATGGACTTCTGTAGCCCACATCGGTCGTACCGGGACAGAAAGGTCCGCACTGGGTTCCGGAGGCCTGTGGTGGGGTTTAAACAATGAAATGTGGATTTCTGGAGCTCAGATCACCATCAGAACCAGGTCGGAACCGACCACCAGAAGAGACGCACGGCTCAGCGGGCCAGTTGGTTTCCAGGTCGGAACTGGATCAGAACCGCCTTCCGGACAACCAGCCGAGGATCATGTGCAGCTTTTAAAAATACCAACTGCACTGGCTTGCTGGTGTTTGGGTCGGATCCAGCTCACAGAAGCCTGCATGAGCTCCAGAACCGGAAGCTCTCCCTCTCTCTAAAGCACTAAACTACGTTAGGTGAACGTTAGGTGAACGGATATTAACGAGTATGAGACCGCTGACAGACGCTCATTAGTATTAATATTATATTAACTGACCAATTATAAGACGACCCCCTTTCCAAGACTAATCCTTGGAAAAGGACAAAAAAAATCACTTTTTAAATAAATTATTTTTATTGAAAATTTGAAATTTTTTTATGCAAACTATCAGAACTTTGCTGACATGTGAAATCAAAAGTCAAATGATCCCTCTGCCTCTGTACTCGCTCATGCTGCTGCGGTCCCGGTGTACCATCAGATCGCTACACCTGCCGACTCCTCCCAGAATGTCATCCTCTCCGCCATCTAAGACATCCATGCATGTAATTATTGACACCTCTGCTGAATTGACCACCATCATCTTAGAACTCTCATAACTCTGCCTTATAGCTTGTTAACTTGCCCCACCTTTGGTCCACTCTGCTCCGCACCTCTCGTCTACATTTTTTCTCCTGTTGAGAACACACAGCCTGGCACCCTCTGCTGTTACAGGTGTGTAACGTTAGATCTTGATTATAAGATGACCCCACATTTTATAATAATAATAAAAAAAAAACAATAACTTATCTCATATTCAGGTCACTATGGTACTTTTAAACTTGAAGTTTGCCCCTGACGTAGCTGCCGGCTTCTGATCCGCCATCCTTTTGAAAATGCTGCGGTGTATTCTGGGAAATTTTTGACCAAGGCTAGGCTTCAAGACACCTCCCATGCATCCTTGCTCAACTAGCTAAACGGCTAACAAACGGAGAACACACGTCTCAGTAGAATACCCCGGAACATGCCTTGGTGGTTCCTGACGACGTATATCCTAGGCAACCGGGTCGGGACCAATACATCAAGGCAAGGTTCCTTGGCATTGAGAAACACCCTCTATGCTTTTCCCCAGTGTCCTGTTAACCGATCACACCTGCAACATATCAGTAATCATCTCACCTGTTCCCTTTTCCTTGCCACTGCCTCAGTCTATTTAAACCCCGTTCAGTCCTCCACTCGTGGGATCCTTGTGTGTGTTTGTACAGAGCTCTCTGTGTTCCTGTGCTCCTTGTGCCCTGCCTTATTATTCATTAAAGGATTTGAACTGCTTCAACTGACTTCCTCCTGGATTACTGCATTTGTGTTCTACTTCAACATCCACCATTTTATGACAACTAAAACATCTCCATTCATCAAGTGGTTGATCCCAGTCCCACCGACTACACGACTTGTTCCACAGTCACTCAGCTGTTTAGACAGATCGTCCATGTTTACCGTAAATCCTCTAATATTGGCCTGTAATCAATTAACGGCCGGGTATCACATTTTGGCTGGTGTTGGCGGAAGTGAATAATGGCAGTTTTTTTTATTGTGGCCGGGTGGAATGTGGTAACAGGCAAGCACCACAGGGGGCGGTTGTGTCATCCGTCTCACTTTTGATTTGCCAGTGATAGACCGCAAGGATAACTTTAACCATGGCAGGTACGGAGTTGAAGAGGAGGCAAAAATTTGATATCAAGTTCAAAGAGAACGTGCTGATATATGCTGCAGAACCCTCTGGGGAGCAAGCTGCTAAACATATCAACATTGACCCATCAAACTGGATGAGGATTAAACAGATTTTTTTTTTTACTTTAAACTGGACAAAGATTGAATTGAATTTGGGGGTTTTTATTTTATTTTTTACTACAACACAAACGAGACGAAACGATTCAACTTTGAAGCGGTAAGGTGGCTGTTGCCTTTTCTAATACTGGTATTTAATAACGATTAAAATGCAGTACAGGTATGTTTGCTATTTTTTGTTACAATACTGTATTTCCCTACTGTAATTTAGCCTTGTTGTTAATGTTTTATATGCAAACCGTACCACGTTACGGTAACTGTACATTTTCAGTAAATGAACCTAGTATTTTATAGGTTCAAATAGACACACCCCATTTTTATTCATGCTACTGGTAGTTCATTTTTCTCCAATAGAAACTGAGGCCTGCCTCTAATTCTGGCCCTCCTTCCAATAAAGGCCTGGAGCTTGATGAGCTTGAGGAAAATACAGGCCCTGGCCTGTATTAGAGGATTTACGGTATGTTAAACAGAACTGCAGACAGAATGCATCTGTGTACAACCCCGTGACCTTTTGACATGCACATACCAAAAAGACAAGATCCTAAATATTGACCTGGCTACCTCTGTTCTGTAACGTTAAGGGACTTTACGGAGTTTTGAATTTTTATGCTCGCGATTGCCCCCTCAGGCCAAAAGCGTAACGGCAGCTTCAATAGTAGGCTCGTGCACGAGGCGCGCATGCTGTACGTGCACACTCCTTAATGAAAATAACAGCTGAGACAGTCCTTTGTGTGTGTGTGGCCCGGAGGACAGAGGACAGGAGAACGCGCAGCTAATTAATTAAATAATTTGGTTCTGTACCTTTCTCTTCAGCACAGCCGTCAAAGGTTTATGATGGGTCAGTCTTCCTGCATGCTCAGATCATTCCCTTCCCTTGCTTGAAAAATTGTTCCAAAATGAAAGTTGAACCCACATCTTTTTTATCTGTGAATTCAATGCCGTTCGGCAAGTCTCAAATAAAAATTTGGGCATCTTACTGTAAAAAATATACCATTAATGTAAAAAAGAAACTAAATAAACTATGTTGACATCCAGAATCAAACCCGGATCCTCTGCACGGGGTCCGACGTCTTACTAGGTGAGCTAAAGCGCCAGTGATGCCTGTTGTATCTGTAACATTTGTATCCTTGATGACAGCTGAAACAATGTCCAAAGAACAGTTCAGAGCGAAAATGGCTATTTTGCTGCTAATTTGCAGGAAATATCTAGAAGAAAGTAGCTAAGAGTCCTCAGAAATGTAGCTAGCTTTGTCACTAGGCGATAGGAACAGCGACAAAGACTAAAGCTATGGATAGCAAATGCTACGGGCTATGCCTGGGCGTGAACGTGCATGAAGCAGCCTGCTCGACCAGAGCAGCTCTCTTTTTCTGTGATTTTACAGAAAAACAAGCAATCACAGTAAAAAATGCCAGGGCTCATTCTACAGGACCAGCGCATTGCAGGAGAATGTTTGAAGAAAAATTTTATTATTTCTAAACATGTTTTGGCTGTCAAACTTCCATAATGCCCCTTTAAGAAACAACTTCTCATGAACAAAGGCATTTGATGCGTTAATAAAACCCAAAAAGTGGAATCGTGCCTGTTATACGAGTCTCTTCTTCTTTCAGAGCAAAGATACACATGTTTGTATCATGTTTGGATTCCAACCCAAACTGTAGGAATGTTAGCAGAAGAAGAATTTCCGTGCTACCACCCAACCCTACAGCACACGTCATACATGCACTCACTTTTACACTTTGGGAGGGCGTTGTTCCACTGCCCATTGGCCTGGCACGTAGACTTGACGGCCCCCTGCAGGACATATCCAGTATTGCAGACAAACCGCACAACGTCATTCAGGTTGAACTGGGTTCCTTGGGTCAGACCAAATGTAGGGTTGCCAGGGTGACCACATGTGATGGCTGAGGATGTCAAAAGAAATGACAAAGATTTGGATACACTGTGAGGAAACCCATAGAATAATTTAGTCACTTTACTGGAAAGAACATTCAAAATATTTGTACGTCTTAATTTACATAAATGGTGTATTGTGATTTAGGAGCAACTGTATAAGTACAAATGCTTTAGCAAGTGTTTGTGAGGTTGTTCTGTGTGACCAGGTCTAATTGTAACTAAAGTTAATTATTTAAGAGAGATGACCTCATCAGTGGAGGACAGTTGTTATTTTTATTTATCTCCAGACCACCCTAATTAGAGCATCTGCGACTGTTACATTTACAGTGGGGCAAAAAAGTGTTTAGTCAGCCACCGATTGTGCAAGTTCCCCCAATTAAAATGATGACAGAGGTCAGTAATTTACATCATAGGTACACTTCAACTGTGAGAGACGGAATGTGAAAAAAAAATCCATGAATTCACATGGCAGGATTTTTTAAAGAATTTATTTGTAAATCAGGGTGGAAAGTATTTGGTCACTTCAAACAAGGAAAATCTCTGGCTCTCACAGACCTGTAACGTCTTCTTTAAGAAGCTTTTCTGTCCTCCAATCATTACCTGTATTAATGGCACCAGTTTGAACTCTTATCTGTATAAAAGACACCTGTCCACAGCCTCAAACAGTCAGACTCCAAACTCCACTATGGCCAAGACCAAAGAGCTTTTGAAGGACACCAGGAAAAGAATTGTAGACCTGCACCAGACTGGGCTGAGTGAATCTACAATAGGCAAGCAGCTTGGTGTGAAAAAATCCACTGTGGGAGCAATTATCAGAAAATGGAAGACATACAAGACCACTGATAACCTCCCTCGATCTGGGGCTCCACGCAAGATCTCATCCCGTGGGGTCAAAATGATCATGAGAACGGTGAGCAAGAATCCCAGAACCACACGGGGGGACCTGGTGAATGACCTGCAGAGAGCTGGGACCACAGTAACAAAGGTCACCATCAGTAACACACTACAACGGCAGAGAATCAAATCCTGCAGTGCCAGACGTGTTCCGCTGCTGAAGCCAGTGCATGTCCAGGCCCGTCTGGTTTGCCAGAGAGCACATGGATGATACAGCAGAGAACTGGGAGAATGTCATGTGGTCAGATGAAACCAAAGTTGAATTTTTTGGTATAAACTCAACTCGTCGTGTTTGGAGGAAGAAGAATACTGAGTTGCATCCCAAGAACACCATACCTACTGTGAAGCATGGGGGTGGGAACATCATGCTTTGGGGCTGTTTTTCTGCTAAGGGGACAGGACGACTGATCCATGTTCAGGACAGAATGAATGGGGCCATGTGTCGTGAGATTCTGAGCCAAAACCTCCTTCCATCAGTGAGAGCTTTGAAGATGAAACGTGGCTGGGTCTTCCAACACGACAATGATCCCAAACACACCGCCCGGGCAACAAAGGAGTGGCTCCGTAAGAAGCATTTGAAAGTCCTGGAGTGGCCTATCCAGTCTCCAGATCTCATCCCCATAGAAAATCTGTGGAGGGAGTTGAAAGTCCGTGTTGCTTGGCGACAGCCCCAAAACATCACTGCTGTCGAGAAAATCTGCATGGAGGAATGGGCCAAAATACCAGCTACTGTGTGTGCAAACCTGGTAAAGACCTATAGTAATCGTTTGACCTCTGTTAGTGCCAACAAAGGTTATGTTACAAAGTATTGAGTTGAATTTTTGTTATTGACCAATTACTTATTTTCCACCCTGATTTACAAATAAATTGTTTAAAAATCCTGCCATGTGAATTCATGGATTTTTTTTCACATTCTGTCTCTCACAGATGAAGTGTACCTATGATGAAAATTACTGACCTCTGTCATCATTTTAAGTGGGAGAACTTGCGCAATCGGTGGCTGACTAAATACTTTTTTGCCCCACTGTAATTGCAGTAACATATGATGCGTTAAAAAACAAATTTCTAAAGACTCTTACTGGATCAAAGTTAGAAGGTCTGTTGAGACGAGCCACATAAGTTATGCAGAGCGGTGTATTGACTTTTTGCTGGGAAAACTTACGAACGCAGACGGGAGTCTGCCCTGACCAACGGTGATCCTGTTCACAGATTCGCACCGACACCCCGATAAGACGAAATCCTGGGTTACACTGGTACACGACACTGCCTCGGTAGTTGTAGTTCTCCCCAGCGATTTGACCATTGACTATTGGCTCTGGAGTGCCACAATGGCCGGCTGTGTGAAGGAGAACAAAGTTAGGGGCACTGAATCAAAGGCCAGCTTTATTAGGTATTTAGTCATACCCTGTGAGTCGAGGTTCTCACCTAGACACTGAACTTGTGTTCCACTCCAAAGACCGTTGGACATGCACTCTCGTACCCGAGAGCCCACTAAGGTGTATCCAGTGTTGCAGGAGAAAATGGCAGTGGCTCCATACACGGTCAACGTTCCAATCTTGTTGCCATTTGGTGGAGTGCCAAGGTCCCCACAGGAGATGACTGAAGAAACCAGACATGAGCAAATAACTTTCATTTGGTTTTAGTTTGGAGTGGTTCCTAAAGCTGGACAGACACCTTGGGCATGAACCCCAGCTCTGTCATCGTTTTAAACGATCTTCACTTACTGTCACAGACGGGGCGAGGATCCGGGTAGTTCCATGTGCTGTTGGCCTGACAACGAATGATCCTCTGACCCCTGTAGTAATATCCTGGGTCACATATGAGCATCATTATAGCATCAAACTGGTTTTGGGTGCCGTAGATTAGTCGCCATCTTCCATTTTCCACAGCAGAGTGTCCAATGTCAGGACAGGTCACCGCTGTAAGGTCATAAACAAACATTATTGTGAGTTTTATTAATTTTCTGTTTGATCTACTTGTGACTGTGACTTAAACTGTGTATTTATCTTTCTAAAATACATTTAGATCTTGATAGAACACAGACCAACAAGGTCCAGTGATCTTTTCAGGATGAAACAGCTTTTTAGTCCACTGAGGGAGACCTGTGGCCTGCTGTCTTTAAAGGCCATGGCTCTGCCTACATGCAACTACGGTTTTTAAAGTTCTTTATGATGCTTCCTAAACAAGCTTTTCACCTTTATTCACCCTTGATGGTGAATTGTGTTGGCTAGGATGTCCAAAATGTTTTTGGACTTTGGAACATTCTTTAGATTTACTCTCAATTTTCCCCTTTTATTTCAACTCCTCCAGATGCTTTGTTTCATCTGCTATGAGAGCTAATTTGTTAACTTTTTTAGGTTCACAGGTATCCAAGTGTTGTTTCAACCAGATATTTTATCTCATAAATAGATATTAGCCCTGACTGGTCTACTTACGGACACATCGGGGTGGGGCCTCAATGGGGCTCCACCTCCCAGACTCTTGACAGATCACTGAGGTGGTGATGGGACCAGCAAGCCGGAACCCGGGGTTACACTGGTAGGTGACCTTGGCTCCAAGAGAGAAGTCTTGGCCAACGATGCTGCCATTGACAGGAGCAACTGGCATTCCACAGGACATGACTAGAAAACAGACAAAATGTGATGTATAGGGAAGAAACAATGAACAATAACCTCTATTATTGCAACAGGGTTCTTTGCAAACCCATTAGAAAATCCAACAGTGATGTCGAGTAAACATTAGCTTGGCCTACCATCTGTACAACCGTAAACAACAGCAAACACATGCAATTCATATGGAGATTACACCTGGCAGAGCACGCTGAATCGCTGCCCTGCTTGTTTTAGCTGCTTCTGTTTGGAAACTAAACGCTGTAGAACAAAGTCTAGACCCAGAAAACAGAACCTAAATCTTTGTATCAGTAGGAGGACAAATTATAATAAAACGTACCCAGAAGGAAGCTCTGCTTCCTCTAAAACAGACTTTATATTTGAAATGTTCTTAATTCATCCCTGCAGAGAATGCTGCTGTTGTGTCCTCGAACAAGACACTTCCCGCCTGCTGGTGGTGGTCAGAGGGACCAATGGCTCGCCTCCGTCAGCATGTCCCAGGGCAGCTGTGGCTATGACGTAGCTCAGCACCACCAAGGTGACCGTAGTGTACAGCTCTTTCCAAGCTTGGGTCGGTTATAACTCAAACATCTAGCCTGCAGTTTTGCAACACATCATTAAGAAATAAAGGTGCAAGATGACAAGAAGCTTCCAGACGTCACTAATTTTAACCAGAACCATAAAACCCACTAACACCGGAGCTTCCTCCAGACACTGTCAGCTGGGAGAACCCTTTCATCCCAACTGAAAAGAATCCACTGGGACTCATTTCACCCAGGTCATATTTACGTGTCTGAACAAACAAAGAGCTTTGCATCTAAAATCTTCCCTCGGCATGTCTGATGGGATCAGTACGACCTGAACGCATTACAATAACAAACTGATAATGATGCTGATTTATTTAGTGTTCTAAGAAAAACAGGATTTGTTGTCTCATTTCATCAGGACCTGCAGCCACGATTGGGCTCTCACCTTGACAAAGTGGCACAGGTGCATTCCACTGATGGATTCCTTGGGCAGTGCGGCTGCATGAGGCGCTGCTCTGGCCAATAAGCCGAAAGCCCTGGTCACAGCTGAAGCGCAGAGTGCTGCCTAGCTTGGTGCCTGTCAGGCTGTGGACAGTGCCGTTCACAGGGTTGCTTGGTGGGCTGCAGTAGGCAGCTGTAAATAAAAAAATGTAAGCATTTATATAAACAAACAGAAAATATTGCAGCAAGTTAAAAACAATAATGATGCAAGAATTTGTTGAGAAGGTGAAATATGACTGCACATTCGAGGACAACATGGAGCCTCACATCTTCGTTGCATCTTGTGTCTCGGCTGAGGAACAGAACTGATTATTATAAATGAATGCTTTACAAAGATGTGTTAGCAGCTGCAAAAGAGGATCATAAAAGTGACTGATACACAATAACAAGAACAGAGTTTGTTTTTGGTTAAACTGGTGGTAGCAATAATCATTCATCACCATAAATGATGCCAAGATGGATCCAGAAGTGGCAACAGAAACGATGTCACACTGAACATCAGCTGGAGAAAAGGAACCACACATGAAAACATCACATAATCTAATGTGAACAGAGTCATTGAGACTGCATAAAAATGCTAATTATACTTTTAACAGCCTACGTTTGGTGATGAAAAGTTAAGGGATTTTATCTTTGAGCATCGAGTATAAAATCAGACAAAACTCCATTATATAACATACTGAAGCAATAATGCATGAATGTGACCTAGCTCTATTGCACCAGTCTTTCCAATAAAGTAGATAATTTATACTAGTAAAAATAAAGTCTGTTTTATTGTCATTTTAGACCAAATCAAAAGGTTCCTCATCCCCAAAAGCAAAAGACAAAAACATAAATTATGTCAAGCTAAAACAAAATCTGTGAAGTAAAAATCCATCAGAGGACCAGCCTAGCAGGAACAGCTGTGAACCAATCAGTGACATGTGGTTAGAGTCACCATCAGTGCTAGGGTTGCAACCATTATAACTTTGAGTTGTACGGTTATTGCCTGAGGAAAAAAAAACACGGTTTCATGATTACCAGGATCATTTTCCAGGAATTTATTTCACATTTGTATTAACATATATTAAAAAGAGCTGAACAATAGTAGGAAACAATACCTTGTAAGTCGTACTTTGGGGGGAAAAACACCAGTGCACCATTTTCAGGAAGTAGAAATAATCCCAGCTGAGCAGCAGGATTTGGAGTCTTATTTCCTGATATTTGGACACCTCTCCTCTGATTGGCTAACAGCAACATGACTCTACCACTGACTTGCAACACTGATGTTTTATTTCCACAAATAACACAAGCCTGGAGGAGTTCGGCTCTGTGGTGGAGTTGGTAATGCTAACGGTTAGCTTCTACTAGCTGATACATCGTCTGCTGTTTCCTGGACGCTAAACCAACAACAACCTTTCCCGTCGTGAGTCCATGAATGTTAGTGACAGTGTGACATAGATCTGTCAGAATGTTCTAATCCTAGAGTTTCACCGTATATTTTCTATGAAAAGCTAATAAGGGAGATAGGTGTAGGAGACTATTTTCATGTTCAGTCTGCATGAAACACTCAGAGTGACCCTTTAGAATCAGAAATCCTATTTGAAATGATTTTGATTGGTCCACACCATTAATTAAACTTGCCTAATTGCCAGTTTGAGTTTCTATAAAAAGACAAAAAGGCTTAACTGTTGACAGCTGGTCAGGGTTAGCACTGAAGGATGGAGACACCTTAAAAAAATAAGATGCTAAATTCCTACGGATGCAGTTGTTATTAAGAATATCCTAAAACATAATTTCTACGTGTTCAAATCTTCATTTTCAAATTTAATCAGTAAGAATATTATTTGGACATGATAAATAATGTTATTGTTACGTAGAACAGTTATTATAGAGAGGTGTAGATGATTAAATGTTAAAATGGCTTGCTGTATTATATTCCAAATAGAGGGGAAACGTAGAATAACACTACTAAATGAGCACTCGTTCACTGATTGTTCTAATTTTACTGTTAAATCACTCTAGTCACCAGCGTAATCTAACTCCAAGCTTATTTGTCTGTGTGACGATGTCGGAGATGACAACAAGTTCTGCAGATGGACGAGCCATCATCCTGAATTTGCACTTTAGCAGCTTTGGGAATTAAAATATCCCCTCACAGGAGACTACGAGCACTTCCTAGCTGGAAATGGAGCAGCCCCAGTGATTATCGCTGGTTCTGCTGCATGCGTCCGTTTAGTTTCGCTTTTGTTTTGGTCCACTTATTACTTTTTTTATTTGCCGTGTTGGAGACATCTTCACGGTGGGTTAACTGCAGCGTTTCACACTGTGGTTAATAGTCAAACCGGTTAATCCCTGCAACCCTAATCAGAGCTTTGACTCACAGTTCATTTGTAGGTATAGATCCTTTACTCTTATATGTACAAAGAATGGTACGGAGGAAGGAGCTATGCAATTGAAACACAAAGTTACAGAATGTAGGAAAGTAGCACTGCTTGGATGAGACACTGTTAAGAAAGGATATAGAGGTTGTAAATACTGGACCAATGAAACGTAGCCCAGAACAGAGCCCTGATGGCCGCAAAAGCCACATTGCTCTGAGAACATTTCCACTGAACACTGTCGATGTTCAAGCTGGGCACATTTTTATAGATACACCTCAGGGTTCTAATGAGAAGTAAAGAAAGCCGTGATTTAAATAAAAACACCAGCAGAAGTTTTTCCTCAGAAGGTGACTGAGGCCGGCCTGTTAACCATTCTTTCTCCTGATTGTCTCTTCTCGTGCACGTTTCCTTTTCTCATTCTTGTATTTTCTGTGCAACAGCGTACCACTTACCATTTCATCAACTCGCCCTGCAACTTAGAATAAATGAATCTACAGGGTCAGGGACTAAATTGAAACAGATAACAAACAGCAGGAGAAAGTAAGATGGAGTGGGCAAGGTCAGGCCTACTTTAAGTTGATTGAACTGATGGAGAAGATGAATTTATCTAAAAAAAGAGTGATAGAAAAAGTGAGGGAGTAACAGTAGGAAACTGAGATAGTCAATTGCAAAACGTCTGGAAGTTGTAAATGAAAGGCCTGCCCTTGGAGAGAAGAGATGGATTGATGAGTAGAATAGCTGAATACAGTGAGTGTGCCCGCACCATCTGTTTGTTCCTCTCAACAAAGGTGCAACAGAAGGCGATTCCACGTTGACCACAGCAAAATTTGGGTTCTCTAGGATCATTTAGCAAGTCAATTAATCTGCCAAGATAAAATCCATCAACGCTAAGAAGAAAGCATTTAAAAGTAAAAGAGGCAGGAGGAAAACTGGGGAGAGAGATGACAGAACATCCGGCCTGGGAGATAGAACGATCCGCTGAGAGCAGCAGAGGCGATTAGTCAATCTGGCTGAGTGGTGTTGATACAGAATGGAGGGAGCCTTTTAAATATTTACACAGTCATAATTCACCAGGAGTTATGCAGGTGTCGTATACCAACAAATCCTTCATGGGAGCAGGACAAAACGGAGGAATAATAAGCAACACATGAAACAGCATTCACTAATTCCCAGGTTCTCGCTGCACAGCAAGGCGTGGGTGCAGATGCTAGCTACCTCCATTAGGCTCTCGCAGAGACGGGTCATATTTCTGGCTGCCTCAGACACAGTTGGCAGCACAGATGTGGGACTTGTTCACAAAGTAAATTAAACACATCACTGATTAGACCAAATTCACAACAAGGTCCCAAAATATCCAGTCAGAAATCCTTTCATGCAACAAATGACCAGTCACCTGGTAATGAAAGAATGATAGCTGGGTCTACCTGAGTATCGTATGCGAAAGCCTTTGTGGCTGGTGGTGTGGTCGAAGGACCAGTGAAGGTAGACTCTGTTACTGGAGCTGGTGACGCTCAGAGGACTGGAATAGTTACCGCTGAGGGTGATCAGGAGGGGGCTCTGTCTGGATGGGCCTGGGTGGAGGTGAAGAAAAAGGACAGCAAAAAAAAAGTGTTTTTTTTTTAGATTAAATTATTTTAAATGACTCATTTCTAGTACTACACATATTTGTTCACTTGGCATCCTGGCTTTGATGTGGATTTTCTCTTGTAGCACTTAAAAAAACTTGCACAGCTCCTAATTGAGGGGAAAAAGATTTCAACCCATAATTGGCTTGGCAGCCTCAAGGTTAGCAATTGTCTGCTCTTCACCACTCGGCAGAAGATAAAAAGCACTAATCAGCATCACTAGTGTGCACGCCACCATTTTGTCAGAACTGCCGGGCAGAGTTGCTGACTCGGCCTCTAATTACATGCAAATGTACAAGGCAGACGTACATGTTCTGTCACCATGAGAAAGAGGGCTTGTGTGTGATATTCTGTTAGGAGAGGCTGATAGCTTTGTTACCAACATTTCATTTAGCTGTCTGGCTCATTCAGCCTCTAACTGTGGATTTCTGTGTAAAGTGAGTCTGTAGGCCAAGAGTAAAGGATCTATCGTGGATTCAACCGAGGGACACTCCAGGTTGTAGGAAGCTAAAATTGGATTCATTATAACAACATTCAAAGTGTGTACACATGTTTATGTTTTTCTACATCTTCAGCTGACCCACCATCAAAGATCTCCAGCTCATCGAACTGACGACTGGTCTGGAAGTGTTCGATGGTGAAGGTGATGTTGTAGCCGGGTTCTACTTTTACCACCCAGGAGCAAGACTCGAAATGAGGGAAACCGCTGCCTGGTGATTGGCTCATAATGATGCCGGTGGATGCTGTCAGCACTTCGTTCATGGGGCACGTGACTGGGGAGAGGAAGCAAACGCAGACAGAGAAGAGAAACTGTTATTTCAAAGCATTAACATAATGCACTGTTGTTGTTTGGTTGGGGCTGTTTTACTACTGCAGGTCACGTCTAGTGGTTGTTCACTCGTTTAATGAATTCAGCTTACCTTGAAGCATCACTTGGATTGTTTAGATTCCCATTGTTGCTGAGGAGTAACTCAGTGTGACCAAAACTGTTGCCAAGCTAATTGTCATTCTAGCCTGAATGCTGCCACAGAAAACAGGGCTACACATTCTAGGTCAGTCAGCTAAACAGCTAATATATCACATCATATTGTTGACTAGCCACAAGCATATTCACTGATCTCTGCCCATCGTCAGCGGCCGACAGATGTGACTCAAACTTGGCGAGCAACTTTCTCTTCAGCCTTGAGGTCTTATTGCTGTAACATGTCTGGGTGGACCACACCCATGGCTATCCCCCTCTGTCACTGGGACACCTTCATGACATCCTTGGACAAGACATCTGCTGGCACTCGTAGTCGGGATTATCAGTCTCTTGCTTGTTGTGTATTTCTGCAACGCTGCAAAGAACACCCTATTCATGTGTCAGAGCTACATATAGTACACAGTGGAGCTCACCTAGATTAGCTGTACCATGAAAAGAGGCCGTGTGCTGTTACAGCAACACAAGGTAAGAGCTACGTAGTTGATGTCTTTGTTTGCTGCTGTGCACATCTCTTGCTGAGGTAACAGACTGTAAAGCCATTCTTCAAACAATACAAACAGAGCATTATTTGTGATTGTGTTTGAAGCCAAGCGATTCCTGCAAATGAGCTCTTTAAGCAACTGTTCACTGAAGAACATTATAGTCACGAGCAGTCAGTGGTCTGAGACACTGCAGCTGGGAAGTGTCCTAAAGAAATCTCAACCCATTAATATTTGCACTTTTAACCCTCCCACTGTCCTAATGGGTGTGACCCTGCAAGGAAAGTTGACCATTGAGCAGGATTGATGGTTTATCCCTTGGGTCCACGTGGCAGGGGTGAGGAGTGAGCACCACTTCACCCCTGCCACGTGGACCGTTAAAGACAGTGGGAGGGTTAAAGATTTCTGCAGTCTTTGCTTTTATCAAACTTTAATATAAAAGAGCCGCAAATACATTTCAGTATCTGACAAAGATAACCTGGTTAAATACTAAATGCAGTGTGTGCATCTCTTCAAAAGCAACATTCCATGTCCCACTATGAAAACATCAAGAACCCAAAGCAACATCTAAGGCAGAGGCCATGATTTAGTGACTTGTAAGGCCAAAACCTCCACTGACTAAAATAAAGACAGAGGCCCATCCCACATTTTACAAACTAAAAACCTTTTCTGTGGACGGATGAGACAAAATGAAACTTTCTGGGAGGTGTAAAGGAATGTTTATGCGTGACTCATCCACACGGCTACGCGCAGCCAAATTACGGCATTTCAGCAACCACGCCCCTCCCAAAGTTTCCACACCTAGGACATTTTCTAACCACGTGGACGGTCCTGCATGGAAAAACATGGTTGACTGGCAAGAGCTCGAAGCGGTGGAGGTTTGTAAGTACAGGTATCTTTATGATTCGGCCCATAAAGATCACCATGATCAAAATATTGTTAATAGTTGCTGTCACAGTCAGAAAAAACGAGGACACTGTTAAAAAATGTGATAAACAAAAAAATTTCCACGCACAGGTACAAAATGATGATTAACCACACAATGCGTGAATTAGTTCCTACGTACATTATACGCACAGATTTGTGTGTAAGTACGGATGATGCATGAGGCCCCTGGACTTTGACACATGGATCAGCTTTCTGTTGTAGAGTGCTGTATGTCTAGGGTATTTGCCCCACTGGAGTAAATCTTCTTCCTAGTCTCAAGTCCTCCACCGTGTTTTCTTCCCGACTTATCCTGTGTTCAGCTCCATCCCTCTTCCCCTCAATTCTGGCCAGCTTCCCTGTCCTTGCTGGTGGCGCCTGTGTACGGCAGACTCAACTCTATCAGTGTGCCCCTTGGCAGCTGTGGCTACAATGCAGCTCATCACCAATGAATGGGTGAATGAATGATTGTGTTGTGAAGCACCTTGTGGGATTCCAGGACTCTAGAAGGTGCTATATCAAATACAGGCCCTTTACCATTTACATTTGCTGAAGAAAAGTGTCCCCACATAATGACACTGCCACCACCATGTTTCACAAAGGGGATGGTGTATTTAGGGTGATAAACACCGGCATTTAGGCCCATATGTTCAACTTTGGTCATGAACATGTGAGTTTGAGTCTTGGTTGCTGAGCAATGGTGGCGCTGTGGGAAAACGTTACCATGTAAATATTAAAGCCATCCGAATAATGTTTGTAGAAGACAAAGATAAAAACAAATATATTTCTTTTTAATATTTTAATATTGTAATGTGGAAATAAACGACACACACAGCAAATAGGTAAAGTCAGGAAGCAATGGCATTGTGCTGAGATTAGGATTTTAGTGTTAGACTTTTCTATCCTTGACTTGTTTGCAGAGTTTCTGGGTCTTCATTATGTTGTTTGTTCAATAATGTTCTCTAGCAAACCACCAAGACCCTCACAGAACAGGTGTATTTATAATGAGACAAAATTACAAACAGATGAACTCCAGTATCTAATTAGGCAACTTCTGAAGGCATTGGGTGCACTGGATTTTATTTATCAGAGGCCAGGGGGCTGAATACAAATGCTGATTTGCAAATACAATATTAGATTTTTAATAGCCTAAAAGGATGAAAAATGTGCATCAGTTTTATTTCACTTCACAACTTTGTGTTGATCTATAACATGAATCCTCAGTAACAGACAGTAACAGCCCACATTGGTAGTTGTAAGGGTTCAGCATGTGTAAAAGTTCAACCCTAAACCACTCTACAAGCTTTAGGTCGGATCAGAAGGGTTGATAAACAAACCAAATCATTTAAATTTGAGTAAAACTGCTTCAAGTGAGGTGTGTATTTAAGTGTTTTTCAGACAGGAGTGCAAAACCTACCCACAGATGTAAATGCCTTTGTTGCCAGCCACTGTTTGAATACCTAATTCTTTTCTGCCTGAGGGGGAAGCAGAGCTTCGGCAGTCGTCAATCCTTCATTAAAGTGTAGAAACACAGAACAATCTGCATCTCGTCTGAGTCTAAACTTCACTTGGAGATAATATCAAGCCTTCTATGTGTTAATATGAGGGGTGAGGTGTTCACACATACAAGTAAACTTCAGTAAAATACAAGGAAAAAACAAGTTTGTCCAACATTTAACCTCAGAAGTTTCTCATCTAAAAGACATTCACCAAGTCTGTAAAATAATTTACAGCCTTGATCATCTCAAGGATGTGAGTCAATATAAGGAAACTTACTGAACCTGCAAGCAGCACATAGAATCTAAGAGTTCAGTTCATTAAACAATCAATTTGGTGAGGCTGGGATGTGTGACCTTTTCCAGAGCTACAATACGTCTTCAAAAGGTGCCTTCAGTTTGTGTGAGAGTCAGTGGGGTTCTGATCTGGAGGCTACTTCTGAATCTAATCAGTTTGATAGCAATCATTAGCTTGACCAGGGGCGGAGCTGTGGGTGGGCCTGGGTGGGCACAGGCCCACCCAGTTTGACAGAGTGCTCACCCACTAGGGGCAGGGCCAGGCAGTTGCTTGGTGTTGCTATAGCAACAACAAGATGTGGCCAAGCAAGCAACTGCTTAGCAACCCCAGTTATGTTGTAACAACAGTTACAATATAAAATTATTACTTTAATGAATGTGCACTTTTTCATTGTGTAACAAAAATACTTTAACTTTTATATCTGGTATTAATTTTAATCATTATGAATAAGTTTTCCAGTTTACTTGTTGGAATCGTAATTTGGTCTGTTATATAAAAAAAGTGAAAAAAGCAACTGCTTATTGACACTAAGCAACTATTAACCTACTGCAGAGAAAATATTCTGATGCCATCCCTGCCACCCAGTGAGGATCATTATTTTTTTTTCTCAGAAGCGTCCTCCTGCCCTGGACTTCTCACAGCTGAACCGGGCATCTCCCGGAGTCTGCGGATGACGTCACTGATATTGTCAGCAGTGTAAACTGAGAAAGGACTGGGTGTGAGGGGGAGACAGATGTGCAGCACGCACCGGACACGCAAGGACCTTTTACCTGATGCTTTTCCTTGCACTTACGTTAATCCGGTAAAGGTAACGAATCATTTCATCCGGGTATCTCGTCGGGTCTGCTTTAGTCCTCTAAGGCTATTTTATTTGGTTCTGTTCATTTATTGTTGTTGTTATCCGGACCGGGGGTTTGGGTGGAAGATCCCGGAGGTGATGAGTCGTCCCGAACCGCATCGGCGCGTCGCTGTCCGTGGTCCTGAATGAGACAGAGCCCTTGAGAGCCGGTGAGGAGAGGGGGTGTGGTCGGAGGTTTATGCTGCTTAGCCAAGGTGTGTGTGTGCACGCACGCTTGGATCGTGCTTGCTGATTATTCCCTGGTGGCGGGCGCAGTTGCTGAGAATCATCTGATCTGATTTCTGGTTTTGCACCACCTCCTGCTGCATCCTGAGCTATCTGGAGCATGAAGAACAGTAAAAAATCCTGATTTTTGAAACATGCGGTGACCTCTGGCAAGCTGCGGTCTTTTGAATCTTCAGCTCTTAGCTGATATCCTGCAGCTAGGACGCTGAGGCGAGCACGGCAGCATGCCTGGCTGAGATTTGAGACTGTTCAAGCTCCTGAAAGTTCACACGAGAGAGTGTGCAGGTCTTGGCCCAGAGCGGGAGTCCAGCGTCGGTAACAGTCCTTAAAATTGAAATTTAACAGAGATCCATGGAATAAGTATCTAATATATAATCTTCTATCATATGATTATTTGTGGCTTGAGAGATTTTATTAAAACATGTAATTTTGATGTGCACGTGCGTCGCACACATTTCATATGAGCTTTGAAATTAATTAGACCCATCCAGATTTCTCTAGACCCACCCATTTGCTACATTCTGGCTCCACCACTGAGCTTGACTATAAATAAAAATGTTTTATGGAAAGAAGGATGTTTCAGAATGTGAGGTGAGAACAACTTTGACAGGACTCAAAGGAAAATGTACTGTAATGAGACATAAACAGAAATGTCTTCAGTGATTATGTGCATTTATTATGTGAAACTTCAGAAAATATAAAAAAAATATGTTTTTTAGAAAATTAATGATGGATACTCACATCAGCATTCATCTAGGCACACAATTATAAATGGAGTGGTAAAGTTGTGCTGAGATGCTTTTTGCTTATTATCTTTTATTAGCATGAGCTGAGGAGCAATAATGAGCTGATTGGAGTGGAAACCTGACATCATAAGCATTAGCCTGGATCAAGACCAAACAGCTCTAGGAAGTCAGCAATGACAATAGGATGTGAGGAGGGGGCAGTAGTAGGATTATAAACAGGGATCCAGTCTGTGCCTCATTAATGATCAGAGACAAAGGTGACTAATGTCTAACCTAAAGCATCTTTGACGTTTAAAACACAGGATGATCAGTGTTCATTCTGTTGAGTTGTAATAATAGGTTGAGTGTGTGCTTCATCTTCATCTGCCCGGAATGTGGTGCGCTTTTCATACCATATTAATACCCTGTTTACCACCTCTTGCCTCGCCATCTGTGGAAACAGTCAATACAGACCCATCTCCTGACTTCCTTATCTGCAGGAAGACACACAAGGCTTCATAAGAAGGCCTGACTCTTTCTAACTTTATTTTAGAATCTTTTTTTGTCTCATAAAATGATTTCTTCACTTTACAGGTTAATTGCTGATACATTATACAACGAATAATGTCTAAAGTGATGTTAATGAGTCTTGACTGCTTTACAGTAATTAATTAATTAACATAACTGTTTATTATTGAAATGCCTTAATTCAGATCCTAAATAAAGCAAATGAGTCTACTTGATGGATTTAATAATGCTTTATAATCATTTATGTCACACATTAATATCAGTATAACAAATTTATGTTATGTCATATTTGTTTCACATATCAAGTCCATCCATCTATCTATTTTCATCCGCTTATCTGGAGTCAATTTGTGTGGGCAGCAGCCTAAGCAGGGAGGCCCAGACTTCCCTCTCCCTAGATACTTGGGCCAGCTCCTCTGGGTTGAATCCCAGTTAGGAACGCAGATTGACCAGCACAAATTGAGAACTTTGCCTTCCAGCTCAGCTCTCTCTCTTCACCATGACAGATCGACAGCAACGCCCGCATATTGCAGATGTAGCACCAATCCACCTATCAATCTCACACTCAATTTTTCGCCTCACTTGTGAACAAGACCCTGAGAAACTTAAACTCCTCCACTTGAGGCAGGACATTGTCCCTGACCTGGAGAAGGCATTCTACCCTTTTCGATTCTGAACCACGGTCTGGATTTAGAGGAGCTGATTCTCATCCCAGCCGCTTCACACTCGGCTGGTAACCACGTCGAGCGGAAAGCTGGAGATCACTGTCTGATGAAGCCAACAGGACCACATCATCTGCAAAAAGTAGAGACCTGAGATCCTCAGGCCACCAAAACAGGCCCCCTCAACATCTTGGCTCCACCTAGAAATCCTGTCCAAAAAAGTTAAAGTTATGAACAGAATCTGTGACAAAGGGCAGTC